TCTGCATTTTGGCCTCTGATCTCGGGGCCTTGGCTGATGTTCGTTCACTCATTAGCAAAGACCTATTTGAGCAGATATTAAAGCATCGTAATGATGCTGCTTGCGAAGGCAAAGGTTTCTACACTTATGAAGCTTTCGTTAATGCTGCCAACTCCTTTGGCGCCTTTGCAACCACCGGTGATACCAACACTCGTAAAAGAGAAATTGCTGCCTTCTTGGCTCAAACTTCTCATGAAACTACAGGTGGGTGGGCCAGTGCCCCCGATGGCCCATTTGCATGGGGATATTGCTTCATCAGAGAAAGAAACAATCCAGGAGCTCATTGTACTTCTAAAGATTGGCCATGCCCTCCTGGTAAACAATATTATGGTCGCGGACCCATCCAACTCACACAGTAAGTTTCTCTCATATCATACCTCCTCCCTTGTAAATTCTACAAGACTTTCTGGCTTTGACCGTTGACTTGTTGACTTTTTTTAGCAACTACAATTACGGGCAAGCGGGTAGGGCCATCCGGGCGGATCTAATAAACAACCCGGATTTGTTAGCTACTGACGCTGTGATATCATTCAAGACTGCTTTCTGGTTCTGGATGACTCCACAGTCACCCAAACCTTCATGTCACGCTGTCATCATCGGCCAATGGAAACCATCCACCACTGATACTCAAGCGGGTCGGGTCCCCGGTTATGGGGTCACCACCAACATTATCAACGGCGGCAAAGAATGCGGCCAAGGCTCCAACTCAAAAATGGAGAATCGGGTCGGATTCTACAAAAGATACTGTCAAATTCTGGGAGTTGACCCTGGCAGTAACCTGGACTGCAGTAGTCAGAGGCCTTTCAATGCTTAATCTCAACCAAAATGAATCAATAATGTTAAATGTTGATCAAATAAAACATCAATGAAGTTAAGTTGATCTCTACTAAATTACATCAACATATTAATCAAGCTCCTTCCCCTCCTGAGTTCAACTTATGATCTTATTTATATACAACATGCAAGCAAAATACAGATCGTATATAACTAAGTAAAGTATGTTACATAAATACTGAATTATAATAGTTATAAATTAGTATTATAATTTAAATTAAATATTGAATTTAGAGATAACTACTTATATAACCCTATTTTAATTAGAGTCAAATTAAAAAAGAATCCATCCTAAATTGTCTTTGTAAGTAAGACCTTTGATGCAAATTCTGGACAATTTGACCCTTCTTCAATTCACTTCTTTCTTTCTCCTCTTTTCTTCTTGTCTTTCTTTATTATCCTTAATGTTTTTAGATTTACGTTTTTTGTATTGTTTGTATATATTTACGGTGTATATATATTCATATGTGTTTAATATAAGTGAAGTAATGCATATTTAGGGGAAACAAAACAAGAAAAACTCACTTTCTACCACTTGAATTGGAAAAAAAATTCTAGAAAAATTGCAAAAAATCGAGTCACTCAAATCTAGTCGCTTGAGTGGGATATAATGATATTAATCTTGTTTAAGTGAGGTATAATGATATTAATCTTATTCGAATGGACGTTTTTGATACTTTACATAATAAATTTCATAAAAACAATACAACCCATATAAAATTTTAAAAAAATCCATTCGAGTGAGGATAATATCATAATACCCCACTCAAGTGACTAGACTCAAGCTACTCGAGTTTATTTAATTTTTTTGGGTTTATTTATCAATTCTGGAAAAATATATTTTCAACCTAATTTGAATTATTCTCAATTCTTTTTTGACTTTCTTTATATATTAAACATATTTTCAACATTTCCTATATCCTTTAACACTAAATTCTTTCAAAAAATCAACTAAAAAAATCACAATATTCACATTTCAATCTTCGATCAAAACTTTTTTAATTTCCACGAAAGCAATAGTATTTATATGGTTAAGTTTGAAAAAAGGGTAAAAGTGTCCAAATTTTTTATGAGAGGTCTTGCTTACAAAGCCATTTAGAAATTGGCTATTTTGATATTTTCTAATTTGACTTTTTAAAGAGGGTCAATTGAGTAAATTTCTCTTGAATTTACTATAGCATAACTCCTTTATAATTAAACATTTAATAAGGTTTATTTCATTCACCATGAGTGATATTTAGTCAAAAACACCCTCCTAAAATATCATAAGACCCTATAAAAATATTAGATTTCTAATAATCGTTTTTTTTTTTTTTTTTTTTTTTAACTTAAATACCCCCCATGGACATATGAAATTAATATTGTTTAATAAATTTTATTGCTCACTACAGTTTTGGCAATTGCTGAGCATACACTCCCTGGGTTTCAAAAATTGGTTTTTAAAAGTCGGGCCTAACTCTTCATTAAATGGGCTGGTTGGTTAAAAGCCCAACCCATTTAACATGTTTCTCTCTCCTCTCTCTTTTCAACCCTTGTTAAACAGTGTTACACCTTCATTAACCACTTACACTGTTACACCTTACTTTCTAGCTTTGACCGTTGACTTGTTGACTTTTATAGCAACTACAATTACGAGCAAGCGGGTAGGGCCATCGGGGCAGATCTAATAAACAACCCGGATTTGGCTTTGGATGACCCCGCAAGCCATCAAGCCACAATGGCTTTCTTTGTTTCAAAATTGGGAACACTATTCTTAGTATTCCCAAAAAAGTTAAACAATAAAATATCTAAAAATTCTAATTTTTGGGAATACTACTTTCAATATTATTCAATTTTTTTTAAACCTTCTAAATTTGTTAATTTAATTAAATACCCCTAAATATTTTTTTAAAAATTATAAAAACACCCCAACAATCCACATTTACCAGATTCCGACCACCACCATCAAAAAATGGCTGGAATCTAGTAGGATGGCGTACTACCAGCTGAATCTGGCCGGTAGTGCGCCGATCTAGCCTTTTCTGGCCAGATCCACGGTGGATCTAGTCGGAAAAGGCCAGATCTAAGGCCAAAGATCTGGCAGTTGACTGCCAGATCTTTGGCCATAACAGTCGGTCACGATGGCCAACAAACGGTCGTCGTTGACCATCAACGACGACCGTTTGTTGGCCGTCGTTGAGAGCAAATACGGCCAGATTTGGCCGTAGATCTGGCCTTTGTCGGCCAGATCCACCGTGGATCTGGCCGAAAAAGGTCATAGCGACGTATGACCGACAAGATCCAGCCGGTCATACGCTGATAAGACGACTCCGGCCACCTCTGGTGGTGGTGGCCGACTGGGGGTATTTGAGGGTGGATTAGGGGTGTTTTTGTTAACTTTTAATGTTTTATTATAGGGGGTGTTTTGTAAAAAAATAAACATAATGAGCATTTTATTTATTTATAAATCCTACCTCGTAATACCCACCAAATTCAAGTTTTCTTTAACTTTTTTCAAAAAACTTTTCTCAAAACCCCCAAATTTTGAACCAAACGAAGCCAATGTGATCACAGGAAGATGGACACCATCTGATGCTGACAGATCAACTAATCGGGTCCCAGGATATGGTGTCATCACCAAGAGTGTTCACGACCAAAGCCAAGCCGAGTTTTCGGCTTAACGAGCTCGACTCGTGAAATGGGATAAAGAAGGCCTCAACGGTTCGTAATGGAATCGAGCCGAGCCGTAGATTTTTGGATGTGAAACTCCCAACCCGTAACAATAGACTTCTTTTAGTTGGGCCTTAACGGTTTTTAATTTTGATCCAACAATATGTATTTATTATTTTATATAAGGAAAATCTAGATATAAGAAACAAAATATTATTTCAAACACAGTATAATTTATATATCAAATTAGCTATCTTAAATATGCATTAACTGGATTATATAATCTCCATATAGTGATATTTTAAGCCTGACCTTTATCGGGTTAAATACATATTCACCCTTCAGGTTTGAGAAAAATTCAAATAAAAAAAATCTAAAATAATATATAAAATGAAAATAAGAACCTAAGGTATGCATAATCTCCCACCATAATTGTAATATTAGAATGTGAAATTACTGTAAATAGAAGGTTATTTGGGGCTATTTCACTGTTTCAGGTTAGAGTTTTGGTACTTTGTTTTTGTTAATTAACGAAGTTACTAGTCTTCTCGGTTTAGACTTGGACTAAGTCGAAATTGAATATTAGTCTANACGGCGAACAAATAACAAACTAGATTCAGGCTGTTGGGGTTTTTGAAGAGAAGCGTTCGATGAGTCTTTTTGTGGTAGAGGTTGGATTGTGGTAGTTAGGACTGATCGAAATTTGACTTGAAAGGAGTGGTTGTGCAAACCCTAATCGATTTATTGCTGATGATCGACGATGTCGGCGAGAGTAGAGTTTGAAGAGTTTTGGTGAGTGATGATTGACGAAGAGAATAGTAGCGGAATGAGGTTGGAACGATGTCAGAATTGGAAACAGAATATAAATTTGGATTGTAAAGTGGTATATTAAAAGGAGTGATGCTATGGGTACTAACGGATGGGTACTAATTTGTGTACTAATTAAAGCATAGTACCCGTACTATGCGCATAGTACGGGTATTATGCTTTAGTTAGTACACAAATTAGTACCCATCCGTTAGTACCCAAAGTATTATTCTATTAAAAGTCTAGTATGAAAAAGTACCATTAAACCATCATTTGGATAGAAAAAAGTCGTTTACTCTATTTTAACTTATGCTCAATAGCGTAATAGATCATTTACCATCCCTTGAATAGAAGCACCACTTTCCCTGTAATCTCCTCCGCCTATACGGTCATTTAATTTGCCGTGTGAATGAATTCATGTAGTGCTAAATGGTGGAAATATGCGCTGACTATTGCTCATTCTCACAAATCCAAACTTGACACTTATTCATCCTTCTTTTATCCTTATCATCTCCATAATTCTCATACATCATCATTATGCATTTCTTAAAACTAAAAATAAGTTAGGAGCCGCCGCTGTTGAATGGTCAGAAATAAAATGAATGGATCAGAACATTTCGATCCATATTACGTCACACCCTCTTCTTGCTCTATCTATAAATACCCACCACCATTATCCCAAAATTCACAAGTCAATACAAAGTGATCTAATCAAGCACCATATTAGAATGAGGTTGTGTATGTGCTTATGGGTGCTAGCATTTTGCACTTTGGCCTCTAATCTCGGGGCCTTGGCGGAGCAATGTGGTAGCCAAGCTGGAGGGGCCAAGTGTCCAGGAGGGCTTTGTTGTAGCAAGTTTGGTTTCTGTGGTACCACTAATGATTATTGCGGTGCTGGTTGCCAAAGTCAATGCACTGCTGGTGGCTCGCCGTCGACGCCATCCACTCCAACACCTACCCCTAGTGGTGGTGGCGGTGATATTAGTTCACTCATTAGCAAAGGCCTATTTGAACAGATATTAAAGCATCGTAATGATGCTGCTTGCCAAGCCAAAGGTTTCTACACTTATGAAGCTTTCATTAATGCCGCCAAGTCCTTTGGCGCCTTTGCAACTACCGGTGATACCAACACTCGTAAAAGAGAAATCGCTGCCTTCTTGGCTCAAACTTCTCATGAAACTACAGGTGGGTGGGCTACTGCACCAGATGGACCATATGCATGGGGATATTGCTTCAAGCAGGAGCAAGGCAACCCCTCAGATTATTGTGTTGCAAATCAACAATGGCCCTGTGCTCCTGGTAAAAAATATTATGGCCGGGGTCCCATCCAAATTTCATAGTAAGTATAATATATTTGGATTATTGATTACTCAATTAATTAAGTTGTTGAGATTGACGTTGAGCTTGACTTTTGACAGCAACTACAACTACGGTCCAGCAGGAAAAGCCATAAACTTTGACTTGCTAAACAATCCAGATGCAGTGGCAAATGACGCTACTATTTCATTCAAGACTGCTTTCTGGTTCTGGATGACTCCACAGTCACCCAAACCTTCATGTCACGCCGTCATCACCGGCCAATGGAAACCATCCACCACTGATACCCAAGCGGGCAGGGTCCCCGGTTATGGGGTCATCACCAACATCATTAACGGTGGCATAGAATGCGGCAAAGGTTCCAACGCACAAATGGAGAATCGGATCGGATTCTACAAGAGATATTGTCAAATTCTGGGAGTTGAGACTGGCAGTAACTTGGACTGCAGTAATCAAAGGCCTTTTAATGCGTAGTCTAAACCAAAATGAATCAATAATGTTATATCTTGATCAAATAAAACACCAATAATGTTATGTTGATCTCTACTAAATTACATCAACAAATTAATCAAGCTCTTTCCCCTCCTGAATTTAACTATGATCTATAAAACCATTATTTATGTATTTATGTGAACAAGTGTTAAAAATAGGGGTACAAGTGTTATTTTCGAATTTGACTTTTCAAAAAGGGTCAATTAAGTAAATTTGACCGTTTAATAAACTATTGGTCACTACAGTTTTGGCAAATTCTGAGCATTCACTAACTGGGCTTTCCCACGACTGGTTTCTAAAAGTTGGGCCTACTTTGAATTAATGGGCTTGTTAGTTAAAAGCTCGGCCCATTTGACATGTTCCTGTCCCCCTTTTTGCTCTCTTCTCAGCCCCTGCTAAACCCTAACTCTCTTGCACCTTTTTCACACAGCTGAAGTCTCAAGTAGCAGAACAGAGTAGAGAGAGCAAAATGGGCAAAATCCCACCTTCCTTGCGCTCGTTAGTTTCAGCCAACTCGCTTATAAGAACTCCATTACAAACGGAAAAATCCCAACGTCATCACTTTCTCAAAAAAAGGCCCTCCAGAAAACAACAACGAAAGGACTCTGATGATTCTCTTGAAACTAATAGAATCCCGTCTCTGTTCAAGTCCCCTGAACTTTCAGAAGCCAAGGAACTCTTTAATTCCTTCATTTCTACTAAAAAAATCCCACCTGATCGCCCCTTCCACAACTCTCTTCTTCAATCCTACTCTTTGATGTCAACCGTTGATGATTCAATCTCTTTTCTCCACCACATGATCAAAACCAACCCCTCTTTCTCCCCCGACCATGCAACTTACCATATTTTGCTTTCGCTGGCCTGCAAAGCACCTGAGTCTGACCTCTCTCCGGTTCATAAGACTCTCAATTTGATGAAAAATGCAGGGTTTGAACCGAACCAGGGCACCACCGATATTGCGGTACGGTCACTTTGTTCTGTTAATCGTGTTGATGATGCTGTTGAGTTGGTAAAAGAATTATCATTGAAAAAGTCACCGCCTGACATGTATACTTATAATTTTCTTGTCAAGTGTTTGTGCAAGTGTAGAGTTTTGAGTACTGTTTATGGTTTCGTTGACGAGATGCGTAGTTCTTTTGATGTAAAGCCTAATCTTTATACTTATACAATCTTGATTGATAATGTTTGTAATACTAAGAATTTACGTGAGGCTACGCGATTGGTGAGTGTGCTTAATGAGTCCGGGTTTAAAGCGGATTGCTTTGTGTATAACACTATTATGAAAGGCTATTGTATGTTGAGTAAAGGGAGTGAAGTTATTGGGGTTTATAAGAAAATGAACGAGGAAGGTGTAGAGCCTGATCTTGTTACTTATAACACGTTAATTTTTGGGTTGTCGAAATCTGGGAGAGTAGTTGAAGCAAAAAAGTACTTGAAAATAATGGTAGAAGCAGGTCATTTTCCAGATGCTGTTACATATACTTCATTGATGAATGGGATGTGTAGGAAAGGAGACGCATTGGATGCACTGGCGTTGTTGGAGGAGATGGAGACTAGGGGATGTAGTCCGAATTCTTGCACGTATAATACGTTACTGCATGGTTTGTGTAAGTCGAGGTTGTTGGAGAAAGGAATTGAATTGTATGGGATGATGAAAGAGGGAGGCGTGAAGCTTGAGACGGCTAGTTATGCCACGTTTGTGAGGGCACTTTGTCGAGTTGGTAGGGTTGCTGAGGCTTACGAAGTTTTTGATTATGCAGTTGAGAGTAAGAGTTTGACTGATGTTGCTGCTTACACTACATTGGAAAGTACACTTAAGTGGCTGAGGAAAGCTAAAGAGAACGGCAATATGGTCTAATTGGTATGTTTTGATTACTATTTCCCTCTCTTTATTTAATTGTTCTTATAGGTTGTTTTGTGTTCTGTTTACATTGTCGTAATCAAATCATCTCCCACTTCTACAATTTGGTATTGAATCTGAATTTTTAGCGTGTTGAATCTGTTTATAACTGTTAATATGAATCATTCTTTCTCTATTTTTTATTCCTCGAAGGCATTGCTCATAAGAATAATCCACTGATACTATCAGAACACGGGTTGTCTAGGTACATTTAAGGTAAAAGTTTTGTGCTTTGGTATATTAGCATTAGAGGCTTCTCCAACAGTTAAACTTGCATTCTAGCACTCCTGAGGCTCAGAATATCATGATTTTGTCTGGCAATAATCCCTGGAAATAATTTTGATGTGATTCTCATTATTTGGAGGGTTATTGATCATTATCAGGTTATACCCACTGCATTATTTATTTCCTTCTCATAAAAAGTTTATGCGTAATATCTTGAATTTTATACTCGGCTTTGGATAAATATGCATGCTACCACATGACAACCATACACATAACGTGTTCAGCAACCTAGCTAATTTATTTTCATATATAATTTTCTTTGTCAATGTCACGTACTAATCTGTAATTTGCTTTCAAATGATCCAATGCTATATAAATGCTAGTGTGTAACAATCTAGCATCAGTATGCTCTTATTATAAGAACTGAGATTAAGAATTAAAGTAGTTGTTCCTCATTTTCCTGGATTTATCTGTATTCTGCCACCAAGCTTATTCATGCTTTTCGGTGAGCTTTTTCCCATTTTAATGCATCAAACATTGCCAAATTTTCACATTTAAGGAATCACCCTTTCTCCTTTTATTATTCTCCAATGCATTTCTCAGTTTGCTGATCCCATCAGAGCATGGTTCTCAAGGTAAATATGAGGACATTGTCCTATCCTTTACTGTTTTAGCATTAAGAGCCTGCTCTTAAGAATCGAATGTGCATTCTAGCTCTCTTCAGGCTCAGAATATCAGGGTCCCCTGCATAACTTTTTTCCTATGAGAAAAAGCTACTTCCTAACTTGTTGAATTCTGTTATCTACAGTTCTTACTGGCTCTAGATAAAATGCTGCTTAAAGTTACTGCATGACAACTATATACATAACTTGTTTAGAAACTTAGCTCATTTATTTTCATAAATAATTTTGTTTGATCATATCAAATATTAATTTGTAGTTTGCTTTGAAATGATCTGATGTTATGTAAATTACTAGCGTATAATGATTTTGCACCAATATCTGCCCTTATGATTAGACCTGAGATTAAGAATTAAACCGTGATGTCTCATTGACCTGGAATTATGTGTAGTCCACTACCATGCCTATTCATTCTTTCAGTTCCTTTGCTCCCATGTTGATGGATCAAGGAAATACTTATGTGTAAAACATTGAGGTTTTGTCTTCACGAATGCTGCAGGCTGTTACATATTAATTTTAAGTTGTCAAAATTTTGACTGAAATGATTTCTTCACTGCATTTCTTAATGGCAGCTCTTTTAGGTTGAGGCTGTTGTAGGTTGGGATGATGATTTGAGTTTTCCGCAACAACTCCTTGGAACAATAAAGAAGTGATCTATATGTAACTTCACTTTTGACAGTCTGCCTAAACAGAAAAGGTAAATGAAATTGACCACTGTTTTGGCACATTAAGACTGCTACAGGTTATAGATGCAGCAGCAAGATACTTTTAGTGTGGCTTGTGGGGTTGTTAGTTTTCTCAATCAATGAGAACAATCGGAGTGCTGCAGGTAGGTTGCGGAATTAAAATTGTTGTCTAGGTAGTTCTGTGATGCATTCCACAGTGCTGCTAAAGCTTGTGGATTTTTACTTGGATACTGAAAGGAGAACCACCAAGCAATTTTGAATAGGTAGAGTTGGTTGAACTAACCTTTGTCATTGAAGATTATTGGAAGTTCTGTTGTTTACCTATCATACTGGCATATCTTGCTCTTTAGGTTGTAACCTTTTACTGAAGTGATCAAACGGGCGATATAGTATTTATGATTGATTTGCAATTCTTTGTAGTTACAACGAAATTTACTTTCTATTAATTGCTGAAAGAAATGTCCCATAAGGAATTAGCCAAGCCTGTGGTTTGCTCCCACAATATCTGCTGTTTGACTCTTTATTCAGCTTCTCTCTCATTTGAAATGATCTTCTTGTCATTTCTTCTTGCATCATTGTCCAATAATTGAAGCTAAGAATCCTCTTTTCCACTCTCAAAATCTAAAAATGCAAACGACTGGAATCAATCAGTACAACCGTAGCCGGGCTGAAATTTTCTGATTGAAAATTTAAACTTTGTTTACTCCTGAACCGATATTGGGAAGGCAAAAAAAATTGAATGCTCTGTGTGTTAACCATGTGAGCAATCCTCGGTATGAGGCTCTCTGTGTGACACAAATGCTAGCCAACATTTTGTCTGCCAAGTTATATATAACTATTTGTTTCCCTGTCTCCAATTATTACTTTCCCGTTTAACAATTTTGCTATTGCAGTTTATATTGTACAGCTTGCTAAGTATTCGGTGCCCAATTGAATGAAAATTGTTAATGATTTGGAGTAAGTTCTTTTGTACCAACCCTAAATACTCTTTATATTAGCCCTAGAATCTTGGACTCAAAGGCCAATTCTCTTGCAAATTCATGTCTCCTTTTGTCTTTTTCTTTCAGGGTTTTCTTATAGTATTTCATTCCACCTATTCAAAGTACTGTTCAATTGAAATTAGACAAGCATAAATTTGCCAGCCTTTTATGTTTCAAATTAATCTATCCAAGTCTATGATTGAATCCTCTTTTATAACAAGGCACTACCAATGATTGGGGAGACAAAGAGGCATCTCAATCTCACCACCATGACCACTTTTAACAAAATCAAATTTTCAATTCCTATTTCATGACCAGAAGATTAAAGAATGAATAAGGTTTACTTGTTGCTAGCAACAAAGTTTACAAAAGATCTTCCTTTGTCAGGGGTTGAATCACATTGCCACACATGCCAAACTTTGAGCACGAAGAGGCAAGTGGTCAACCAAGATTCTTGGAAATATTACTCAGGAGGTTCTGAGTATGATCCCCTATTTAACAGTAATCACCATTGGGTGGCCCAGCTGTTAATTTAGAGTCTAGAAAGATTAGTTGAGATAGCGTAAACTGATCCAGACATTCTTGATCACAAAAAAAAAAAAAAAAAAAAAAAGGCAGAAAGTGGAGCCCTCATTGTGTGCTTTATATATAAAGCTTCAACAGTAGTGATTGCCATTCAAGCTACAATTGTTTCTCCGGTGATTTTCATCAGCAGCATCACCAGGAAAACAATGATGGCAAGCATTAATGCCTTTCAAGTCATGCAAGTTCCTTCAAGATCCATTAGCTTGCCTGCTAGATTATTACATCCCACTGCACTAAAAATTGAAGAAGAGTTTAACAAACTTAAAACCTGCGATTCATCATATTCATCTGTGACAACAACCCCTTCCCGCAGCTTCAAGTCTATTCAAACTGGTTTAATAAGGCTTTCAGAGTTGTATAATTGTGTTGAGGAGCTTGTTCACTCTCCATTGACACAACAAGCTCTTAACAATCAGCAACATGTGGAGTTGGTGGAAGAGGCTCTTGATAGGTCAATTGGATTGCTGGACGCATGCAGCAATGCAAGAGAGTTGATTTTGAGCATGAAGGAGCAAGTGCAAGATCTTCAATCAGCTTTACGCAGAAGGGGTGGAGATTACTCCATCATTGAAGCTAATATTCAAGCTTATATTAACTTCAGAAAGAAGTCAAAGAAGGACATTGCAAAGTGCCTTAGAACACTTCAGAGAATAGAAATCACCACACAAAATTTACATTCAACAAAAGCTGATCATCAACATCTTTTCTTTGTGATTAATGTGTTAAAAGAATCAAGTGCCATCACAATCTCAATTTTCAAATCCCTCTTATTCTTCCTGTCCATGCCAGTGTCAAAAACCAAGTCCAGCGGATGGTCAATTTTGATCTCGAAATTGATCCCAGCTGAGAAAGGCCACAAGGTTTTCAACGAAGTGGGGTGTGTGGACATGGCTCTCTACTCTTTGCATGAACAAATCCGAAGAAACAATGGCAAAGTCGATGTGCAAATGGCACTCAAGAAACTAGAGACAGTTGATGGGAGCATCAAAGACCTTGAAAGAGGATTAGATTTTTTGTTCAGAGGCTTAATACAAAATAGAGTGTCACTTCTTAATGCTCTTACACCTTGATCATTGACTAATATATGATTAAGGTGTGAACATTTTGTATATGTAAATTGTTCAAAAAACCCAATTTTGCAATAGAATTATTGTAGTATATGACATTGAGATCCATATATGTTTTAGTAATTATTTGAGTTTATTTTAGGATTTATGTATATGAATAAGGTCCACCCACCGAGTCCCTACTCCCTAACCCACATACAACTCCTGAAAATGGCCATGCGCGGTGGTCATGGACTCTTCTGTTGGCTTCTATAAATTCAACTGAAAATCATTCGCCATTGCATAAACTCTTCATTCGATCTCTCCTTGCACACCTTCCATGTAAACTTGTCATGTTTTGTTAACGGATGAGTTTGAGATTCAGTTTATAAGACTGATTCCCCAAATAAGTAAATAAAAAGGTATGAGCGTGAAGTTTAAAAACAAACTCATGTTTGAGAGCTTGACCTTTTTTTTTTTTTTTTTTTTCGTTTTTTTGAATATTTGTTATTTGAATACGTCTGAATATACAAGTCTGATCAATATTTATAAATTACCCATTTTCCTTATCGGAATTGGGACTAAGAAGAATGGTTGGGATAACAAATATACATCTCGTTTGTACTTTGAATATTTGTTTTAATATATGAAATTAAAACAGAAGAAATATATATAAATTAAAGATAATCATGTTATTATATTGTTTGATGTAATTTTAAAAATTGATTATAACAAAAAATTAAAATAATACTAAAAATACATGATGCATTAGAGTTTTGTGAAAAATTGGTATTATATAAAGTTAATAAGGGAATAAATCACAAAATAATTTTTTTGTTGATTAAAATGTTTTTATATTCAGATAAAAGCTTAATATCTTAGCTTTTAACTTATATCCCATAAACAAACATATTTCCGAAAACAAATTAACCTAAAACATCTCGTTCTACTAAAATTAGTTACATTCAGACTTAAGATGAAAAAACAAACATACTAAGTCAGGATACATGAGAAACCTGAACCTAAGAGATACATGGGGTGATGAACACTTGTGCAAAGCTTAAAAATTGGTAATATTTTGATTGAAATTCAGTATTGCGATGGTATCAAGCCCATGAGTCCATGACACTAATTAAAAATTGGTGACGAGTAGCTTTACTAGAATCCTTCGAGTCCATTGAATACTCTACAAACCTAATGGATTAGACAAATCACAAATGTAATAGGTAGTTACTTTGTGAGACTTGAACACAAGATTTCTGGGTAACTCACCGAGACGACTAAAGTCTTGCCGTCCAGCCACAAGACTAATAGTCGGTTGTTCACATTGTTTAGTTGTGCTGATGGGTTGATCATTCATGTTTCTCCATTTTATCAAGCAATATTATATAAACATAACAATCTGCAATTTGATTCTTGTGTTCTACTTTTTCCTCTCTCTAATCTGCAATTTGATTCTACTGTTCTACTTTTTCCTGCCTCAGTTATAAGACTCTCCAAGCTCTCGTTCCAGGACTACAGGAAAGGGGAATGTATAACAAGAAACAAAACCTGAAGAAAAATAAAACAAAATAAAATCAAAGATATCACTGTCCTGTGCATTATTATTGTTCACTTAATTTGACTGAAAAAAATTAACCACTAGAGACAAAAATCCATGTGTTTATCAGTTTATAATCCTCTTAATTACTCTCTAATTAGTGAACACCAAATGCCTGAACAAGTGCCGCTAATCTCTCCTCAGGATAATTAACTGTTCCCTTGTCTCCAATAATTAATCTCTCAATCATGGACTAAATGATCCTCTGGTGATTTAATTTCCTTTTCTAATATAGTACAGCTTCCTACGGAATTCGGTGCATGCGCAAATGAAAATGAAAGATTTGGAGTTAGATTTTGTTGTTTGAACCAATTAATCCTATAGAATTAGGCCCAATTCTATGAAATTCTTGTCCTCAATTGTCGTTTTCCTTCTTTGTTTTGGGTTATAGGAATTGTTAACACCTGGACGTCAATGGGGGCTCCAAATCTTTTCCTGAATCCTGGAGATGAGACAATTCTGAAATGCCAGCCTTTTGTGCTCATAATATTAAGGAAATGGAGGACGGAAGTGTGTATAAACATGATTGAATTCTGGTTTCATTAGAATTATAAGAAAATAGGAAGCAATTGCGGGGAGACAAAGAGTCAAACCACTCCCATTTAACAATTTTATCATGATCTCACACCATATTTGATTAAAGAAAGAGTGCGGATTTCAGGTTTCTAGCTAACAATGTTACATCCCAATTGTCATCTTCTGCAAAGTGTTGAGTTATGAAGGGAAGAAAGGAGCTCCCGCTATACCGTATGTTTATAAAAGTAAGTCGAAAAGTGAGATCTAAAAAATACTTAAGTGAGATAACGAAACCGATCCATAGCTTTCCAATTAAATCTTTATTTTCGTGACGTGAAATAATTATAATCATTAATTTTTAAAATGATGTATACGTAATCAAGGGCAGAGTTACATTTAGGCCTGGGTTGACGGTCACCTTGACCCCACAAAATTTCCAATTTTATATATAAAAGAAATGTCCCATAAATTTAGCTTCTTTGCCCCCCTCATCTCTTTAACTTAACAGTTTGACCCCCATAATTTCCGATCCTCTCATTCATTCAACACAGTTTTTGCCCCCCAGACTAATTTTTTTGGCTCCACCCCTGTTTTTGTCCTTATAAGCTTATTTTTTATTAGTTTTAAAGAGCCAATAAGTTCTTGACATTATGAACTCATATGCTGCGTAAGTATCGATTCTCTGAGGCCCGTCTAAACCTCTAAAATAAAGACAAGATTAAACCCTATAACATAACAAAATATATGTTTAAGTCAGAGAAATGATTGAGAAGAAGCATGTAAATTAGCATAAAGTTCAATTAATGTATTAAACTTTTATTATTAATTTTATACTAATCATGTAATAATCAAATATGGTTCATTCATCCACATGCAACCTATGCATGGATTGATTCTTCTTGCCTCCGAATGAAACAACAGTTAGCCATACGAGGTGCTAATGGCCTCTGCCCCTTTTGGCCCTGTACGGGCACATGGTTTCTCTCCATAGATTGATTGATTCATCTGAAAGCCAAGGAAAAATTAAACCCCGTACCTTCTGCCGTTTTGGTCTCTCTCTCTCTCTCTCTCTCTCTCTCTCTCTCTATGTGTCTTCTTCATCCTCCTCTCACATGCATGCTATATTATTCCCTTTTCTTTTTTCTTTTCACACACATGATCACTGTTATTGAGTATTATTCTTGTTCAAGTTGTTTGATTGGGCAAATAATGTGATCGTGCTTCTCAAAGTTTGAATAAGTTAAAGCATGGCCGGTTGCAGTCCCATGGCCATATATTGGCCATGGGAATCGAATAATCTGCAATTAATCTGTTACATCAGGCGTGCAATAATAGCAATAATATAATTGGTGTTATGAACTGTATCAAGGGCGAGCATCAAGCTGATTGATTGATAGAAAATGGGTAGGTGATCATTTTCATGGTGGTTGTCACTTTTAATCAAGAGAGAGCATTCCATGGCTGTCATGGTGACCATGTTTGAAAGTTGTATTGCATGAAAGGGAAGTATGAGATTGGACCTGCAATTTAAAGCTTATAATTTCATCAGCTTAAGCAACAAAAACAAATTAATTATATATAATATCATTATTAGGTGTGTAAATCATTAAGTGGTCTAATTTGAACGAAAAAGAGACTAATACGAAACCAAAATAACAGTAAACACACAAATCACAAACAGTAAAGAGAAATAATAATATACGCGATTTACCCTGGTTCACCTAATTAACAGGTTACTTTTAGCAGAATTAATATCATTGTAATATCGTCTCACCTTTCTTGTTACAAGAAAATAATTTGTTCTATGATTTGCTATTACTCATTACAAGAGAAAAGTATATTTATATACTAAGTATAAATGATCAAAACCTAATATTACAAGTATTCTTATTCCTAAACCTAAACCCAATAAAGAATTAATAACTTAAAAGAAATCATTCAACGGGACCTCCGAATGCATCTCCGTGGCCTATTAATACTGAAGTGGTCGACGACTTCGTCACAATTCCCCAACCTCTATCATATGGGAGCGACGTGCTGAACCTTAATTACGGGTTAATGTAAAGATGAACAGTTTAATTAGAGGCATAAATGGGTTGATTTGTGCACACAGTCCCATAATATTCGACAAAATGACTGAGGAATTGGTCGTTCACATGCTCCCCTCGTACATTGAAAGCACAAGGTACGGTTTATTCATTATTTGGTTAGATACATAACTCAATATAATATAGGAGGAGAAAAGGAGAATCACCTCATCATCATCCATTGTTAAGTCATTTGCATGTCCTGCCAATGTGCCTTTTTTTATTTTTTTCATTCTCTCTGCAAAATTTACTCCACCCGATTAATAGTTTCCATAATCAGCCCATTATCAATTTCCAAGCTAAACAAATGCCTTGTTTCCTTGTCTGCTAAACGCACACATCCAGCACCCAACTGTAGCTTTGTCCTCACAAGTTGCTCTAGCAATTGCCTAGATCCATGGTTAATCGGTGGTTCTTTGAAGAAAGACATAATTTCTATATAAACTAATGGTGAATTAAAGAATAAAACTATAGTTAATTGTGGTGGCTAGAAAGCATGTATCAAGATTGATGACTGGGGAGGCAAACAGGCATATATGCAGCACAAATGGCCTGCAAGGGTTGTTTACTTATTCTGAGAAATAAACGTAGCCCATCTTATGGCCATAGATTATTAAAGAAATAATTTTTGTATTACAGATTGTTGTCCAAAAATGTTACAAGGGAATCAGAAAGTTAGATGACCCACATTGCCATCACATGATTTCTGTTTTGGCTTGACTGACCAATCGCTTGAATGTGAATGTCTTTGTTATATATATATATATAGATTGATTGATTCTTTGCCATTCAAGCATCTCTTGCATTCTGCAGATTTGATCAAACTCAGTTGCAAAAGTTAAAAAAAAAAATGGCAGGCTCTTCTGCATTTTCTGATGTTCATCCTCCTGTTAGGTCCATTAGTTTGCCATCTAGAATTCACCCCACTTCTGTAAAGTTAGAATCAACATTAAACCACCTTAAAGCCTGGCAAATTTCTTCAACAACAGCACCAGCTGATACAATCCAAAACGGCCTTGTTGGTCTTGCAGAGTTGTTCAATTGCATTGAAGAATTCATTCACTCCCCACAAACACAACAGGCTCTTCTTCGCCATCGGGATGGAAAATTGGTGGAAGAAGCTTTAGATGGGTCAGTCACATTGCTGGACACTTGCGGCACAGCAAGAGACATATTGTTGACAATGAAGGAACATGTGCAAACTCTTCAATCGGCTCTGCGTAGAAGAGGTGGAGACTCGAGCATTGAAAGCCACATTGCAGCTTACATTAGCTTTAAAAAGAAGGGGAAAAAAGACTTTGCGAAGTGCCTTTCAGCATTGAAGAAATTGGAATGCAAAGGTTCCATTTCTTCCTCAGTTTTGGAAGCCGACCATCATCTATCATTTATAATCAAAGTTTTACAAGAAACAAGCGCCATTAGCATCTCCATTTTTCGAGCTCTTTTGATATTCTTGTCCACGCCAACAATGAAGACAAAGCTTGCTGGCTGGTCACTGATCTCAAAGTTAGTGTCCATGAAACTATTATCTTCTGATCAGAAAGAGCAGAAGATAATTAATGAAGTAGAGAGTGTGGATGTTGCTCTTTACTCTCTACAACGGACGAGCAATGCCAAGAAAAATGAAGTACAAATGGCTCAAAGATTGTTGGAGATTCTTAATGTTAGTATTGAAGGGTTTGAAGGTGGATTAGATTCCATGTTCAGATGTCTAGTCCAAAATAGAGTCTCTTTTCTTAACATCCTCGCCCACTAGTATTATGTAATGATCAAAATATACTGTAATTGAGATCAAACTGGCCATGGCATCCGCATATTACAGGACTGCTATTGTTCCAAATCTATGCTTCTAATATAAGTACATTTCAATGCAAATTTTGCAGCATCACTGGCTAATTACAGCTTAATTCTTCTAATATTCAATTATATCCTTAATTGTATGTTTGAGTGTTGTGCTTTCAACGTTTGTTTTTCCCAGATCAATGTTCATTCTCAAAATTCATCCAGGCTCCAGCTAGCCAATAGCCATGAATACCCTGCAAAATTTTCTGAAACTTCATTTACACCAACTTCCAAGATAAAGAAATATCCACCACTTAATGCTTCTTTATCTTGCATGGACGCCTCCAAATGTTCTGTCCCCTGTTACAGAAATTATTGTTATTTTACAATAACCAACTAAACAATAGTCTATGTGGCCTTATCAGGACCTATTGTAAGCCTAGATTCATGCCTACCATTTATTTTTAATATTACACCAACTAATTATCTTGACTCCTGAGCTAGCCTAAGATTATTTTTGGTCTCAAATGTTATCCCTTTGTGATTCTTAACAGACAGGAATCACAAGCTATATGCTTTTATTAATCATCTTATGCAGACTATGAATAAAATTCTTGGAAATATAATTTTCTTGAACTTCTTTAATCATTTTTTATTCAATTATTGTGTTGATTGAGTTGTGAGAATTCATCCTAATTCATTGCAAGACAAATCTTACCTAGACACACATATTAACCGACATGTCACTTACACACGAATTACAGAGTGACAAATCGGCCACTACCAAAAGAAATAAACGAAAAGCAGAGAGTATCCAATTAGGCCTACAATTACATCACACTTTTTTTTTTTTTTTTTTTTTTTTTTATGATCAGGATGTTCGGGCCAACATATGTATACTCAACTAATTATCTAAGACCCTAAATTATCGGCCGGGTGAGAACTTTCAATGACTATCCCTATTAACAATTAAGAACAGACTCAAATTCAAGACCTCTCAAATAATACATTTAATGATCTTCTGTCAAACCACTTGACCACCCAATTTCATTACTTCTCATGAATAAAGTTTCAGTTTAATATCTTGCTTACACTTTCTGCATGGCAGAAAAGCCAAAAGTTCAATCTTTAACAAGAAAAAGTGGGTAGCATTTGTATATTGAAGTGTGAAGTTCTTGGCGTGGGCTTATGACGAGAGAGCACCACCTGTCTCCTAAACCCACTTACCAAACTACCGCAATCCATTTTCATAATATTTTTGAAGCACACATGTTGCCATGGCGGGCAATGTACGTGTACCTTCGCAATTGCTGATGACATCAAAGAAAAATAAGAGAATTAAGAAATGGGAAAACTTGATATTGAAAAAGATTAAAGATCCATGGAGACAAGAGCAATACAAGCCACTCGTGCACATAATATTTATACATATAATAATATATATATTACCCTTTTGTTAATCTGTATGAGATCTGGATCTTGACATTTCTTAAAATTGTTTTGTTTAATATGTTTTGTTAATCAAGGTTCTTGTAATGGAGACAACCCAGACAGGCCACGTAGCAGCTGCATTTAAATATTTTGGAGATGATGGGTAAGGTGGCAAGAGGGGGGGCAAGCTTAGGGATGACTCTTCTGGTTATATGTAGAAGGAGAATACAAATAACACAACAAGACACATCATACCCCTTTGTGGGCTATAGAGTAATAAAGAAATTGCATATTATTGAAGCTATGTTGGTCAGCAACTTGACAAGGGAACCGCATTCAGAGGAGATTCCATACTCTATACACATGCTCATGACACTGCTGTAAAGGGATTTGTTTATTTCATCGAGCTTTTAGGTGTATCTATAAATAGAGGGTCATTGAGTTGATAGAACCATCTCAAATTTTGAGTTTTCTTTGAAAAAGAAAGAGTGATCATCATGGCCAGTAAATATCATGTTAGATCAATCAGTTTGCCTTCAAGGTCACATCCTAGCACCATCAAAATTGAAGAAGAGTTGAGCAAGCTCAAGACATTGGAGGAGTCATCAAGATTGTTGTTAACATCAGGGTCAATTTGCAAGAGTCTTTCAGGACTTGAAGAGTTGTACATGTGCTTGGATGATCTTCTTAATATGGCATCAAGCCAACAAGTTCTGTCTCAGAATCAACATGAAAAGTGTATTGATGAATTGTTGGAAGGATCTGTAAAGCTCCTGGATATTTGTGGCATCACAAGAGATACCTTGTTGCAAATTAAGGAACATGATCAAGCTCTTCACTCAGCCATTCGAAGGCGAAAGGGGGATTCAAGTGTTGAAAACAGCATTGCTAGCTTCATTTGTTTCCGGAAGAAGATGAAGAAGGATGCCAAGAAAATGATTGTGACACTGAAGCAAATGGATAACAATCTCGGCGTATCACCACTCCTGGAACAAGATCAGCACCTCTCAGCTGTGATTCGAGTTCTTAGAGAAGTTAATGCAACAAGCAGCTCCATCTTTCAGTCTCTCTTGTTATTCTTTTCAGGACCAGGGTCAAAGCAAAAGCTAAACAGGTGGTCACTGGTCTCAAAATTGATGAACAAGAGAGTAACAGCATGTGAAGAGAAGCAAGAGATTGTGAATGAGTTGGAAAGTGTGGATTCTGCATTGTGCGGCCGTGATATTGAGAAGATGCAAAATATGCATGAAAGATTAAAGGCTGCAGAGGCCAGCATTGAAGGCCTTGAGAAAGGTTTGGAGAGCATGTTCAGGTGCTTGATCAGATCAAGAACCTCCCTCTTGAACATAATCTCCCAATAGGCCATTTTTCTATATGAGAAATCTTGCATAGGCATCCAAATTTTAGAGGATCAGCTAAGGATTTCAATGTCAGATTCAAAAATCCTGTAAAAATATTAATATCTGTAGTTACACAATGAAATACAAATGCAATTTTTGACAATCCAAATTATCATGCTTTTCTTCTCTTTTTAATCTTTGCCATCTTTTTAATCTACAGTCTGCAATCAAATAGTTTCATTATTCAATTGAAAAAGCTTGATCTAAGAGAATTTATTTGATTTCCATTTCTCAAAGCTTTATCTTATAGCTATACACATACAGGGCAAAGTCACTCGTGTAACATTTAGCCAACTATATTTCTAGCAAGAATTTATGCCTCCAGATTCTATTGCATTTCTAGGATTGTATTGCATTTCTAGGATTGAAATGCGGCTATAACTTGTATGGGCCAAAATTCGTATTGGACCTGACGAGGTCCAACCGCAACAGTAATGAATGACCGTCCAAAGTCTTAGTCCAATCCCAATTGGGCCCACGCTTAGAATACCTCGAGAATTGCCTGCTCTATGAGTTGGGTCATCCCTCGAGTTAAGCTGAACTGGGTCCGGCCCATTCGCCTGTAGCAGTCTATAACGAGGATCAGAATCCTAACCAAACTCTTCTGTTGACAAAGCCTCGATAGATAGAGGCAAAGAATCCAATCTCTTCCCGAAAAGAGAGTTCCCTTACCAAATAGAACTCAAAATCCTATTAGGATTCGAGCTCCTGCGGTTCACTATATAAGCTAAGGTCAACACACCCATAAAAGGAGAAAAAGATCATCAGAAAACCTATTACTCATATCACCAAACCCATAATCTACCTCAATCCCCTGGCATTGCTTGGACTCCCTAAGAGAAGCTATGAGGCACCCAGCAAGTCCACCAAGCTTGTCAGTGGCTCACTTTACAAGATTCATTCTTTAACTCCATTATAAGTTTTAGCGTTTACACAACTCACTTTTATCACAAATGAACTTGTTGGGTTCATATCTTGATCAGCACACTCAATGCTTATTAAAATACAGAACCATCTAATGAGGCTGTTTCATCTTTCAAGTTCTGAAATCATATGCAATATTAAACAGCTAGCTTTATGTTGCTCCACGTAATGGATGAGGCTAGCAAAAAATGAAAACTTGGAAACAAAGCGCTCATATCAACACACCTGTTTGGATAGGAGTTGAGCCTGGAAGTTTGATATTCTGTCATTTGATTAACCTTTACTCCAACATTAAACTTGGCTCCTCGCTCGATAAGATTTCACACACAGCAAATCTTTTGTCCCTTTTCTCTGTTTAGTTCCCAAGCACTTATATTTATTAAGTAATGAGTTCCCTTGTTTTGTGAAGAGCAAACAACTTTTTCCCACCTGAGGTTTGCCTTAATAACACTTTTCACCTAAAAAATTTCAAAATACCACTTTTCCACCTAAAGTTAGTATACCATTATTACCCAAAGCCGATTCTGTCCACGAAAATTCTCTTTATCACCACCATTTGAACCTCTGGTCTCCTCTCTATAAAACCCCTCTCACTTTGACACTTGAAGTCTCATCGATTGTCAGCTACAACAAAACTAGAGTTCCTTATTTTAAGCTGATTTTTGGTTGATTTCAGCGGTGAATATTTAATTAGTCACCACCATTAAATCCACCGACCTCTACTCTAGAAAAACCGTCTTACCTTAGCTTTTGGTAACTCGTTGAACGCCGACAGAGAAGGTGAAGTGTACTTTGGGTATTAATGAAATATAAACATTGGGTGAAAAAGTGATATTTTGAAACTTTTTGGGTAGGAAAGTGTCGTTATGACAAACCTTGGGTGGGAAAAAATTGTTTACTCTTTTGTGAACTCCATTTTGAAGCCGGATTAGACTAATCAGTCATAAATAATTTTCATTTTGCTGTTAGATGTTCAAGATAATTACTTAAGCACCATACCTTGCCCAAAACTTAGAAAATGCAGACCAACTAAACACTAATATAGCATATTATAGAGAATTGACCCTCCCACACATTGGGTGGTCAACCTTATAGAGGTCATGGAATCTCATGAGTGATGGGTTTTCTTTTTGTTTTTTGACAATGTGAAGGTCAATGCATGGAGGAGTAGGATTCATTGTAGTTGAACACATATGAACTGTCCTTAATAAAGGAGAGAATAAATCAAACATAAAACTGATGCCTCATATTGCCAGGCTGCAAGCCATAAAGAGAGCATGGTGACATAACATGCAAATTCCTATGCTAACTACCTTATCCATCTAATCTTGATGAGCCTGCAGATTAAAATATGTTCTAAATGATATTATCTAATTGGCCTTTCCAGATCCAAATGTGCAGTATTTCAAGGTCCTCTATATATCCATAGAGTTTTGGAAAAGGGTACAATATTTTATTGATGGCAACCAACTTCCATGAATTGAACCATGAAAAGACTACCCTGGCGGTGGCAATGCCGGAGGGTGGTGCATGGAGAAAATTATATTGTAGGAGACAAGCCCAATGAACCTAGTTAGTTTTAAACTTTTAATGCAAAATTATACACTCCAAGAGATGCAGCGTACCCAGATAACAACCAGGTTTTTGCATTAAATAAGATGAGTTTGCACTTTGTTTTTGGTGGAAGACGTGACAACATACCCCATTCCAAAGAAAAACCCACATTACTTTCACATGTCAATGGGCCATGGCATTGACGCAGGCACTTCGAGATGCTTTGTCTTATTTAGATTCTTTGGCCAGTATAAATATGCAACATGGCAACTGAACATTAGAGATTAATTCAAATCTGTCTTATATCAAAACTCTGCTGCTATGATTAAAAAAGCAACTATGGCTGCTTTCTCCACAAAGCCTGCTAAACACTACAATGTTCGATCCATTAGTTTGCCAACTAGATCACATCCAACCACACTTAGAGTTGAAGAAGAGCTTAACAAGCTTACGTCTAGGGAGATGTACTCATCTTCTTCAAAAGCAGAGAAAATTTGGTCTGGTCTATCTGGTCTTGGAGAGTTGTATAAATGTATAGGTGAACTTTTTAGTTTGCCAATGACCCAAGAAGCTCTAGCTCAACATCAGAATGAGAAATGGGTCAATGAATTGCTAGATGGTTTGTTAAGGTACTTAGACATCTGTGGCAATACTAGGGAGGCTATTTTGTTAATGAAAGAAAGTGTTCGTGAACTTCAATCAGCTCTTCGGAGAAGCAAGTGTGGGGAGATGGGTATTGAAAGCAGTGTTACTGCTTATATTTGCTCTAGAAAGACAATGAAGAAGGAAATTGCCAAGTGTCTTGCATCATTGAAACATGTGGAGAACATATTGGAAGCCTCTCCACTTCTTGATACTCTTAATGACCACCTCTACTTGGTGATTGGAATGCTTAGAAGAGCAAGTTTAATCACAACTTCCATCTTGAACTCACTCTTGTCATTCCTCTCTGTGGCGCCAATGCTAAAGCCAAAGCCTACGAGATGGTCACTGGTTTTGAAGCTAGTGCACAAGAGGGTTGCAACATGTGAAGGTCAATGGGAAGTGAATGAGTTCGAGAGTGTGGACGTCGCACTGAGCAATCTGTTGGTGCAACAATCAAGCAAAGATGTTGAAGCAGAGAAGATTGAACCTGCGCATGAGAGACTGCAGGCTTTGGATGCTATTATTGAAGGTTTTGAACATGAATTGGAAGGGATGTTTAGGCGTTTGATCCATGCAAGAGTCACTCTTTTGAATATACTTTCTCAATAGATTAGAGTTCTATCAAATTGTCATTAAACTTTTGTTATGAAATCAAGTTATGGGTCCGAATTTTAGAGGATCTGCAGCATAAGGGTTTACTACGCCTTTTATGTGTATATTTATCTTCATGAATGATATTTTATAGTAAGATTTGAATAAAATTTGAACTGCATTTTCCCATTCAAGAAGAAGATAGTTCCTTCCTTATTCTTCATATCTTGATCAACCACTCGTGCTTATTAAAATACAGAACCATCTAATGAGCGTTTTTCATCTTTCAAGTTCTGAAATCATATGCAATATTAAACAGTTTTAGTATTGATAGTTGATTGGCCATGAATAATGAAATGAATATATATCTATAATGATGCGAATCTCGACATAGTTTCAGTTCAGAATCTCAATCATCCCATAATGAAAACTACTATGTTCTTGTTTTTTTCCCAAAAAAAAAAACATTAAATTTGAAGATTCTTATGCTAGCTTTATGTTGCTCCACGTAATGGATGAGGCTAGCAAAAAATGAAAACTTGGAAACAAAGCCTCATATCAACACATGTGTTTGATAGGAGTTGAGCCTGGAAGTTTGATATTCTGTCATTTGTTAACCTTTACTCCACATTAAACTTGGCTCCTCGCTCGATAAGATTTCACACACAGCAAATCTTTTGCCCTTTTTCTTTGTTTAGTTCCCAAGCACTTATATTTTTAAGTAATGAGTTCCCTTGTTTGTGAAGAGAACAACTTTTTCCCCACCTGAGTTTGCCTTAATAACACTTTTCACCTAAAAAATTTCAAAATACCACTTTTCCACCCAAGTTAGTATACCATTATTACGACACGGCAATGTACGTGTACCTTCGCAATTGCTGATGACATCAAAGAAAAATAGGAGAATTAAGAAATGGGAAAACTTGATATTGAAAAAGATTTAAAGATCCATGGAGACAAGAGCAATACAAGCCACTCGTGCACATAATATTTATACATATAATAATATATATATTACCCTTTTGTTAATCTGTATGAGATCTGGATCTTGACATTTCTTAAAATTGTTTTGTTTAATATGTTTTGTTAATCAAGGTTCTTGTAATGGAGACAACCCAGACAGGCCACGTAGCAGCTGCATTTAAATATTTTGGAGATGATGGGTAAGGTGGCAAGAGGGGGGGCAAGCTTAGGGATGACTCTTCTGGTTATATGTAGAAGGAGAATACAAATAACACAACAAGACACATCATACCCCTTTGTGGGCTATAGAGTAATAAAGAAATTGCATATTATTGAAGCTATGTTGGTCAGCAACTTGACAAGGGAACCGCATTCAGAGGAGATTCCATACTCTATACACATGCTCATGACACTGCTGTAAAGGGATTTGTTTATTTCATCGAGCTTTTAGGTGTATCTATAAATAGAGGGTCATTGAGTTGATAGAACCATCTCAAATTTTGAGTTTTCTTTGAAAAAGAAAGAGTGATCATCATGGCCAGTAAATATCATGTTAGATCAATCAGTTTGCCTTCAAGGTCACATCCTAGCACCATCAAAATTGAAGAAGAGTTGAGCAAGCTCAAGACATTGGAGGAGTCATCAAGATTGTTGTTAACATCAGGGTCAATTTGCAAGAGTCTTTCAGGACTTGAAGAGTTGTACATGTGCTTGGATGATCTTCTTAATATGGCATCAAGCCAACAAGTTCTGTCTCAGAATCAACATGAAAAGTGTATTGATGAATTGTTGGAAGGATCTGTAAAGCTCCTGGATATTTGTGGCATCACAAGAGATACCTTGTTGCAAATTAAGGAACATGATCAAGCTCTTCACTCAGCCATTCGAAGGCGAAAGGGGGATTCAAGTGTTGAAAACAGCATTGCTAGCTTCATTTGTTTCCGGAAGAAGATGAAGAAGGATGCCAAGAAAATGATTGTGACACTGAAGCAAATGGATAACAATCTCGGCGTATCACCACTCCTGGAACAAGATCAGCACCTCTCAGCTGTGATTCGAGTTCTTAGAGAAGTTAATGCAACAAGCAGCTCCATCTTTCAGTCTCTCTTGTTATTCTTTTCAGGACCAGGGTCAAAGCAAAAGCTAAACAGGTGGTCACTGGTCTCAAAATTGATGAACAAGAGAGTAACAGCATGTGAAGAGAAGCAAGAGATTGTGAATGAGTTGGAAAGTGTGGATTCTGCATTGTGCGGCCGTGATATTGAGAAGATGCAAAATATGCATGAAAGATTAAAGGCTGCAGAGGCCAGCATTGAAGGCCTTGAGAAAGGTTTGGAGAGCATGTTCAGGTGCTTGATCAGATCAAGAACCTCCCTCTTGAACATAATCTCCCAATAGGCCATTTTTCTATATGAGAAATCTTGCATAGGCATCCAAATTTTAGAGGATCAGCTAAGGATTTCAATGTCAGATTCAAAAATCCTGTAAAAATATTAATATCTGTAGTTACACAATGAAATACAAATACAATTTTTGACAATCCAAATTATCATGCTTTTCTTCTCTTTTTAATCTTTGCCATCTTTTTAATCTACAGTCTGCAATGAAATAGTTTTATTATTCAATTGAAAAAGCTTGATCTAAGCGAATTTATTTGATTTCCATTTCTCAAAGCCTTATCTTATAGCTATACAGATACAGGGCAAAGTCACTCGCGTAACATTTAGCCAACTTTATTTCTAGCAAGAATTTATGCCTCCAGATTCTATTGCATTTCTGGGATTGAAATGCTGCTACAACTTGTATGGACCAAAATTCGTATTGAACCTGACGAGGTCCAACCGCAACAGTAATGAATGACGGCCCAGAGGCTTAGTCCAATCCCGATTGGGCCCACGCTTAGAACACCTTGGGAACTGACTGCTCTATGAGTTGGGTCGTCTCCTAAGTTAAGCTGAACTGGGACTGATCCATTCGCCCGCAACAGTCCATAACGAGGATCAGAATCCTAACTAAACTCCTCTGCCGACAAAGCCTCGACAGATAAAGGCAAATAATCCAATCTCTTCCGTAAAAGAGAGTTCCCTTACCAAATAAAACTCAGAGTCCTAGTAGGATTCAAGCTCCCGTCGTTTACTATATAAGCTAAGGTTAGCTCACCCATAAAGGGAGAAAAAGATCATCAGAAAACTCTATTGCTCATATCACCAAACCCATAATCTACCTTAATCCCCTAACATTGCTTGGACTCTCTCAGTGACGCTATGAGGCACCCTATAGGTCTACAAAGATTGCCAAGAGCTCGCTTCACAAGATTCATTCTTCAATTCGGTTGTAAAATTTAGCGTTTACAAAACTCACTTTTATCACAAATGAACTTGTTGGGTTCATATCTTGATCAACACACTCGATGCTTATTAAAATACAGAACCATCTAATGAGGCTGTTTCATCTTTCAAGTTCTGAAATCATATGCAATATTAAACAGTTTTAGTATTGATAGTTGATTGGCCATGAATAATGAAATGATATATATATCTATAATGAGTGCGAATCTCGACATAGTTTCAGTTCAGAATCTCAATCATCCCATAATGAAAACTACTATGTTCTTGTTTTTTTCCCAGAAAAAAAAAAACATTAAAATTTGAAGATTCTTATAGCTAGCTTTATGTTGCTCCACGTAATGGATGAGGCTAGCAAAAAATGAAAACTTGGAAACAAAGCACTCATATCAACACATGTGTTTGTATAGGAGTTGAGCCTGGAAGTTTGATATTCTGTCATTTGATTAACCTTTACTCCAACATTAAACTTGGCTCCTCGCTCGATAAGATTTCACACACAGCAAATCTTTTGCCCCTTTTCTTTGTTTAGTTTCCCAAGCACTTATATTTTATCAAGTAATGAGTTCCCTTGTTCTGTGAAGAGTAAACAACTTTTTCCCACCTGAAGTTTGCCTTAATAACACTTTTCACCTAAAAAATTTCAAAATACCACTTTTCCACCCAAAGTTAGTATACCATTATTACCCAAAGCCGATTCTATCTGCGAAAATTCTCTTTATCACCACCATTTGAACCTCTGGTCTCCTCTCTATAAAACCTCTCTCACTTTGACACTTGAAGTCTCATCGATTGTCAGTTACAACAAAGCTAGAGTTCCTTGTTTTAAGCTGATTTTCGGTTGATTTCAACGACGAATATTTAATCAGTCACCACCATTAAATCCACAGACCTCCACTCTAGAAAAACCGTCTTACCTTAGCTTTTGGTAACTCGTTGAACGCCGCAACAGAGAAGGTGAAGTGTACTTTGGGTATTAACGAAATATAAACATTGGGTGGGAAAGTGATATTTTGAAACTTTTTGGGTAGGAAAGTGTCGTTATGACAAACCTTGGGTGGGAAAAATTGTTTACTCTTTTGTGAACTCTAATTTGAAGCCGGATTAGACTAATCACTCATAAATAATTTTCATTTTGCTGTTAGATGTTCAAGATAATTACTTAAGCACCATACCTTGCCCAAAACTTAGAAAATGCAGACCAACTAAACACTAATATAGCAGATTATAGAGAATTGACCCTCCCACACATTGGGTGGTCAACCTTATAGAGGTCATGGAATCTCATGAGTGATGGGTTTTCTTTTTGTTTTTTGACAATGTGAAGGTCAATGCATGGAGGAGTAGGATTCATTGTAGTTGAACACATATGAACTGTCCTTAATAAAGGAGAGAATAAATCAAACATAAAACTGATGCCTCATATTGCCAGGCTGCAAGCCATAAAGAGAGCATGGTGACATAACATGCAAATTCCTATGCTAACTACCTTATCCATCTAATCTTGATGAGCCTGCAGATTAAAATATGTTCTAAATGATCTTATCTAATTGGCCTTTCCAGATCCAAATGTGCAGTATTTCAAGGTCCTCTATATATCCATAGCGTTTTGGAAAAGGGTACAATATTTTATTGATGGCAACCAACTTCCATGAATTGAACCATGAAAAGACTACCCTGGCGGTGGCAATGCCGGAGGGTGGTGCATGGAGAAAATTATATTGTAGGAGACAAGCCCAATGAACCTAGTTAGTTTTAAACTTTTAATGCAAAATTATACACTCCAAGAGATGCAGCGTACCCAGATAACAACCAGGTTTTTGCATTAAATAAGATGAGTTTGCACTTTGTTTTTGGTGGAAGACGTGACAACATACCCCATTCCAAAGAAAAACCCACATTACTTTCACATGTCAATGGGCCATGGCATTGACGCAGGCACTTCGAGATGCTTTGTCTTATTTAGATTCTTTGGCCAGTATAAATATGCAACATGGCAACTGAACATTAGAGATTAATTCAAATCTGTCTTATATCAAAACTCTGCTGCTATGATTAAAAAAGCAACTATGGCTGCTTTCTCCACAAAGCCTGCTAAACACTACAATGTTCGATCCATTAGTTTGCCAACTAGATCACATCCAACCACACTTAGAGTTGAAGAAGAGCTTAACAAGCTTACGTCTAGGGAGATGTACTCATCTTCTTCAAAAGCAGAGAAAATTTGGTCTGGTCTATCTGGTCTTGGAGAGTTGTATAAATGTATAGGTGAACTTTTTAGTTTGCCAATGACCCAAGAAGCTCTAGCTCAACATCAGAATGAGAAATGGGTCAATGAATTGCTAGATGGTTTGTTAAGGTACTTAGACATCTGTGGCAATACTAGGGAGGCTATTTTGTTAATGAAAGAAAGTGTTCGTGAACTTCAATCAGCTCTTCGGAGAAGCAAGTGTGGGGAGATGGGTATTGAAAGCAGTGTTACTGCTTATATTTGCTCTAGAAAGACAATGAAGAAGGAAATTGCCAAGTGTCTTGCATCATTGAAACATGTGGAGAACATATTGGAAGCCTCTCCACTTCTTGATACTCTTAATGACCACCTCTACTTGGTGATTGGAATGCTTAGAAGAGCAAGTTTAATCACAACTTCCATCTTGAACTCACTCTTGTCATTCCTCTCTGTGGCGCCAATGCTAAAGCCAAAGCCTACGAGATGGTCACTGGTTTTGAAGCTAGTGCACAAGAGGGTTGCAACATGTGAAGGTCAATGGGAAGTGAATGAGTTCGAGAGTGTGGACGTCGCACTGAGCAATCTGTTGGTGCAACAATCAAGCAAAGATGTTGAAGCAGAGAAGATTGAACCTGCGCATGAGAGACTGCAGGCTTTGGATGCTATTATTGAAGGTTTTGAACATGAATTGGAAGGGATGTTTAGGCGTTTGATCCATGCAAGAGTCACTCTTTTGAATATACTTTCTCAATAGATTAGAGTTCTATCAAATGGTCATTAAACTTTTGTTATGAAATCAAGTTATGGGTCCGAATTTTAGAGGATCTGCAGCATAAGGGTTTACTACGCCTTTTATGTGTATATTTATCTTCATGAATGATATTTTATAGTAAGATTTGAATAAAATTTGAACTGCATTTTCCCATTCAAGAAGAAGATAGTTCCTTCCTTATTCTAAATCAATTTTTAGGCAGAGCTTCATCACCATAATCAATTTAATCAAGCCAAGTCGGTGCCTCTAAGAAGGACCCAATTGCTCGCTCCACCATGAAGAAACTGCTAAAAGATTAATCTTAATTCTAAAAGATCTCTTTCTCACTCAGCGGACAGTTGCTCATTCTGTCTACTTTACTCGAAGCCAGATTGACTCTGTCTGTGGCTCAAAACATGAATCGCAGAGGCTTCAACTCCTCCAAATGGTACATTACTTACATACATTTGTTTTTAAGATGGTTTTTGTTATCTCTTTGATAGGAAGGCCCAGATGTTTTTGTTAGTCCTACCAGCTTACCTGTGAAACATTTCCCAGTTCAGCCTGTCGAACCAAATAAGCCAGCTATCAGGTGACTCAGTCAAATCTTATTTTGTCAGCTGCCAAACGTCTTAGACAATGAAGTTTATCCATTCTTTTTGTCAACTTCTGATTGTTGATGTTGCTCAGCAAGTAATGGAGATAGGAGACCCTTTCTGGAAATTCGGCTGGCCTATTCATGTCACACGATCCAGTTAGCTCTGAAATTATAGATCATCAATCTAAATCCCAAGAGAGAATGTTTAAATCACAGAGTTTTGATAGGTCTCATTATCTTAGCCAAGAGGAGAGGAGGCATGCCCATGCTGAAGATGGAAATGTCTATAAAAGGCACAGCTACATTTCTCCTTCTGCACATTCAGATGTGAAGTTTGATGAATCTGAATGTGATGAAAAAAATCGAAATGGAAGAACCTCCTGCCAGCATTTATCAACCACCTGAGCGACCTCCACCGCCAGTACCTTCAACTCTTGGTAAACAGGATTCAGTTCATCGCATTCATTCTAAATTACCAGATTAAGATAATCTTGCTGTTTTTTTTTATTCTCTCAAGCATAGAAAATCATGAGCCTAAAATATCAAATGCTTTCCAGCATCACTTTTGTTTGGGTTCTATAATCCATACATATTATCCAATCTATGATATCGAATTTGTATAATGCATATGCTTTTTGTGTATTGTACTTAATTTCCAGGTTGAAATCTTTTCTTGAGCTCATTGTTACTTAATTGTATAAAAAATCTTTTACAATTTGAAAACCATAACCGAACTATTCATTAGTAGTCCAGGAAATTTAAGTACAAGACAGAGCAAAGGAAGTTTGTATACTAAGTTTTGAATCAAATTTGAATTGCATTTTCAAATTGAAGAAGATGATAATTCAGACCATGGTTGAGAATCCAACTTTCAAGCTATGACAACTTTTTTGCGCACATCAGCATCTCTTGGTTCTGATTCAGCACATACCATAAATAAATTCATCTTCCTCCGCTTGTGCTTTTTTCTTTCAGACCAAACCATGAGAGAGGAATTTGAGAAAGCCAAAGCCACCTTTGAGGCCACCACCGTGAGACTGAGGCTAAATAGATATGAACTATCCGGCAGATGCTGCGGGGAACCGATGGAGCACCGAATTAACGATTGGCCGGAGGTCCGAATTAACTCAAATTCGTAAAGTTGCAGATTTAACAGACTTGGAGGAGAAACTGAAGAAAGTCCCAAACTTGACAAGTGCATCTGCAAGGGAGGGTTAAATCCTGGAGAAAATAAGATGAAGCAAGCAGGATGATGTTTTGGAGAACCAAGGAAGAGGAATGTAACTCTTAAAGCAAAGCTCTATCCCTAGGGGTGAGAAAGATAGCGAAGTGGGAAAAGAGCTCTCCGATGCTGCTGCCAAGGCCGCTGAAGAGTTGATTGACTCGTAGGCCAAGGAACTGAGCTGCTGGTTCTGATTTCAAGCCACCAGGATTACACTCTTCCTGATATTGTAGCTTCTCATGACATTGAGTGCAATTCTGTATTTACTTCAACTCCCAGATCAGTTCAAACCGCCAGGACTTAATAACTTAATGAAATTGAGTGTATTACTTCGATTTCACACCGAACCATTTTCAGATCTGAAATTTGTCTTAAAAGAAATACAAATGGAAAAGTTCAAAAATGAAAAAAGGATGAACCCCACTTCATCCCCGGGACGGGGAGGGTGGGGTGGTGGTCGAAAGAGACAATAAGGACCAATGGGCTGCAAGAATTACGGTGACCGGAGAGGGTGATGATGAGTGGAATGTTAGCGAGTGGGAAGGACGGGAAGTTTTTATTTTTAATTAAAAAATTAATATTTTTATGAGGTTAGCCCTATGCAATATTATGTCAGCCCTCTTCTGCTTTGCAAGTAATGGGCGGGGCCGCATTTGGCCGGGCCACTGGCCCACTGCTACCTTGGATTCTTCCACATGTGTACTCTTCTTGCACTTGTCAAACAATGTAACGGCTATATTTAGGGGAGAGCTGCATCACCATAATCAATTAGATCAAGCTAATTCGGTGCCTCTAAGAAGGACCCACATAGCCCATTCCACCATGAAGAAGCTGCTAAAAGATTAATCTTAATTCTAAAACATCTCTCTCATTCAAAGGACCGTTGCTCACTCTGTCTCATTCTGTCTATTTTTACTGGAAGCCACAATGACTGTGTCTGTGGCTCAAACCAAGAAGCTCATGAAGCTGGGTCTATCTCTTTTCCGCAGAGGCTTCAGCTCCTCCAAATGGTATGTTACTTGCATTTGTTTTTTAGATGGTTTGTTCAATACCCTTAAGTTTATAAGTTTGATTTGATTTGTCTTTTGGTTTTATTAGCAAGACGGCAGCGAAGATGGCCGTTGCGAGGATTAAGTTGTTGAGGAACAAGAGACAGGCGGTGGTTAAACAAATGAGACGTGACATTGCTTTGCTTCTTGAGTCTAAACAAGATGCCACTGCTCGTATCCGGGTACTTTTTCTTTTTTCTGTAAGGCAATGTTGATTGAAATGATTTTTCATTTATGTTATGATTGTTATTTTTGGGGAATTCATTTATGTTATGAATATGAATACTGGTTTGTAGCTTTTGTGGGACTACAAAATTGTAAGAGAGGCTTGTTAGGTACCTCATTTAGTTTCATAGATAATCCTATTGATAACATTATAGTCAGCTGGATTAACATGCCCTGTCGATGTTTTAATGTGGATTGATCCGAGTCAAAAACATATCAAAAAGATTTATCTCTTATGAGTTATGACATTTTAGCTTTGTGTTCACTATATGCTGCATTTCGATATCTTGTTCCTAAGCATGAATCGGTATTCATAAGAACTTGTAGGTCTATGGTAGGTGTATGATGTCTAAGCTTGTGTTGGTTCTAGACAAAAGATTATGTTATTGAAAGGATTCACTTAGACCTGTTGACATGGCTGATGCATGCTTATATCTTCCTTCTTAGGCTATGCTTCTTGAACTCTGAAGTAGATCTCTCCAATCTCCATACTTTGGAGCATCATATCTGTGGTGACTGTATTTTCATATAGACGCAATGTTCTTCCAGTGAAGTGACCCTACAGTCTAGTTCTCAAATCTTGCCATAGCAATATTTGACAGGCCCTTTTGCTTACTAATCAATTTATTAATGTTTGTGATTTGGAATTATGGTTGTCACCTTGGAATGTAGCATGTATCATCTCAATGGATTATTTGTTTGCATGATTGTGATTAGATTTTCTCACTCGCCAATAAGTGTTTTCTTTTTGTAGGTTGAACATGTGATACGAGAACAGAATGTTTTGGCTGCAAATGAGTTCATTGAGCTCTTCTGTGAGTTAATTGTGTCCAGACTAACCATCATTGCCAAGCAAAGGTAAAAAATATAAATTATTGTACTGCAAAGCTAAAATACATCTGTAACATAGTTCTTACGTAGATCTAATATATTGCAGGGAGTGCCCTGTAGACCTAAAAGAAGGGATCGCTAGTGTGATATTTGCCTCCCCTAGGTGCTCAGAAATTCCAGAACTAGCGGCAATGAGGAATATTTTTGAGAAAAAATATGGGAAAGATTTTGTATCTGCGGCTACTGATCTGCGACCTAATTCTGGTGTAAATCGAATGGTAAAAGAAGATTTATGACTTTGGAATTTGCAGTTATCTCATTCTTTTAGATATGCTTTCATACTACCGTGAATATTCTCATCAACTAGGTTATTTCTACGCTATATAAAGATTGAGATCTGCATATTATTTTCCCTTGTCACATCCCAATATCTTTTTAGATGACTTTATAGTGCTTGGCTTTGCTTCCAGTTAATCGAGAAACTCTCTGTCAGAACTCCTCCTGGAGAAGTGAAGTTAAAAGTGATGAAAGAAATAGCAAAAGAGTATCAGATTGACTGGGATACGACTGAATCAGAAGTGGAGCTTCTCAAGCCTCCAGAAGAGCGTATAGTGTGTTTTTCTCTCTCTATCTCCATCTTTCTCACTTGTTTTAAGTTCAAGTTTGTTCTTGATCCAACTTTCCTCATTTTATCTCTTTGATAGGAAGGACCAGATGTTTTTGTTAGTACTACTAGCTTACCTTTGAAACATAAGCCGCCCATTCAGCCTGTCGAACCAAATAAGCCAGCTATCAGGTGACTCAGTCAATCTCATTTTATCAGCTGCCAAATGTTTTAGACAATGAAGTTTATCCCTTCTTTTTGTTAACTTTTTCTGATTGTTGGTGCAGATCAGCAAGTAATGGAGATAGGAGCACTATGCGTTTTGAAGACACTACATCAGCTGCTGAAGCAGCTGCAGAATCAGCAAAGCAAGCAATTGCTGCTGCACAAGCTGCTGCCCATCTTGCAAGCAAAGGCTCCAAACAATTCACTCAATCATCCGGTTTTGATGAAATTCCAAATGCTTCATGCAACAAACCTGGATCTGCAAACCTTTCTGGAAATTCGGCTGGCCCATTCATGTCAAACTATCCCCCAGTGAGCTCTGAAAATATAGATCATCAATCTAAATCCCCAGGGGGAATGTTCGAATCACACAGTTTTGATAGGTCTCATTATCTTAGCCATGAGGAGAGGAGACCTGCCCATACTGAAAGTGGAAACGTCTATAGGAGGCACAGCTACAATGCCCCTTCTGCACATTCAGATATACAGTTTGATGAATCTGATTGTGATGAGGAAATCGAAATGGAAGAACCTCCTGCCAGCATTTATCAACCACCTGAGCGACCTCCACCACCAGTACCTTCAACTCTTGGCAAACAGGATTCAGTTCATCACGTTCATCCTAAATTGCCAGATTACGATGATCTTGCTGCTCGTTTTGAATCTCTCAAGTATCGAAAATCATAAGCCTAGACTATCAAATGCTTTACAGCATCACTTTTGTTTGCGTTCTATAATCCATACATAATATAGAATTTTATATAATGCATATGCTCTTTGTGTATTGTACTTGAAGCAAATCAGTATATCTTTCTTCTTCTTTCCTTTCACTGAATCTGATTTGTTAAGTTTAGGTTCGGTGTGGAATTTCCTTTTACATTTCTTGAACTCACTGTTAATTGTATTAAAATGTCTTTTACTGTCCGAAACCTACAACTAGACTATCCATTGACAAGAAATTTAAGTGCAGGACATAGAGTGAAGAAAATGAGATACTTTCAGCCTCCAATAGCACATCAGCACCACACCACTACAACAGTAGAGTTGATGCGCCAAGCTCACCTCTTATTTTTGCCGAACATGCAAAGAAGCATCTCGTATGCCTTGAAATGTATCACTTTTCAACGTTGTGCTTTCATTTTTAGGAACATATACTATCCTCGATAAAAGTGGGCAACAAATATATACTATGCTATCTTTTTTGGGGATTGAAATTCAACTTGTTGGCTGCGTCAACCTTACTATTAACACTTATGCTTGGAGTTTACCAGAAAATGTAATACCAATCTCCAAGTTTAAACAACAATGCAAAGTTATTTTTTGAAGATCTTGTTCAAGTTTAGTCTTTCTGTTATTTCGACACGAAAAAAGATGTATTAATATGTGAGGAAGGCACCTGGGAATTTCTAAGATTCTTGGTGAAGACTCCATTATTGGACCAAAAAGGAGAATAGTGTAGGGTTGTACTCATCATTCTCACATTAGCCTTGTGACACTCCTATGGTTCCTAATCTGAGATTGAATGCTGAGGATGGAGAGATGTTTAGTGATCCAAAGAAATACAGACGGATAGTTGGAAAGTTGAACTACCTTAAAGTAACCTTCCAAATATTGTTTTTTCAGTGAGTGTGGTGAGTCAATTTATGTCATCTCTTAGGACATCTCATTGGGATGCGGTCCTTCATATTTTGAAGTATCTAAAAGGAGCCCTTGGACGTGGGATTTTTTTCAGTGATCACGGTCATAATAAGGTAGAAGGATTTTCAGATGCAGATTAGGCAGGATCCTCTGTGGATAGATGGTTTGTGACTGGGTTTTGTGTTTTTGTTGGAGGAAATCTTATCTCTTGAAAAAGTAAGAAACAACCGGTTGTAGCTAGATCAAGTGCAGAGTCCGAGTATCGAGTTATGGCACAAGTTACTTGTGCGCTTATATGGACAAAACATCTTCTTAGAGAAATTGGGTTTAGTGATCCAGGGACTATGAACTTGTGGTGTGACAACCAAGCAGCCATACATATAGCAAACAATACAGTCTTTCACGAGCAGACTAAGCATATAGAAGTGGATTGTCATTTTGTGCGAGAGAAACTTGAACAAAAGCTAATTACTACTAATCATATTAGCATAGGGGAACAACTAGCTAACATTTTTACGAAGTCTCTAGTTGGTAAAAGGGTAACCTATATTTGTAACAAATTGGACATAATAGATATATATGCTCCAGCTTGAGGGGAGTGTTGGAAACTATGTATATATGTAGTCAAGGGTATATATGTAATTGTATTGTGTATATATTTGTTAGGCTGTACTGTTGAAAAAAATATAAAATAGAAATTGAAAAATGCAAATATTGAAAACAGAGTTTAACAGAAAATGTCATACCAATCTCCAAGTTTAAATATTGAAAACAGAGTTTAACAGAAAATGTCATACCAATCTCCAAGTTTAAACAACAATGCAAAGTTATTTTCTGAAAATCTTGTTCAAGTTTAGTCTTTCTGTTATTTCGACACGAAAAAAATGTATTAATATGTAAGGAAGGCACCTGGGAATTTCTAAGATTCTTGGTGAAGACTCCATTATTGGACCAGAAAGGAGAATAGTGTAGGGTTGTACTCATCATTCTCACATTAACGGAGGACAAAAATTTTGTTCTGTTTCACCAGCAAAAATCCGCAGTATACGGACTACGGAGAACTCTTTCATACATCTTCAGTCCGTTCACTTTCCAATGGTTGGTTTTCGTTCGTTCAATAGTAAAAGTAAACTTTTGCAAGCCATATATATTCCATGTTTTCAGCCAATCTGAAAAGGAAAGTGTATAGCATATAATGTCACAGCTCTGTCTCTGGATTTAGTTATTGAAAACTCTAAGCATTTGGGAAGCAATCTTTTGAGCAGACTTAAGATTTCGTCATGAGCTACTTAACTTTCAGATGCTCATTAATGATGAACAGGAAAAGAATGAATTGGCACCCAATTATGTCAGATAAAGAACTGAAAATTGGCTTTAGCATTTGAACATTCTATCAAATCAACTGCAGAATCAGTCTCTAACTAAGAACTTCGGAAGTGTACGCCCTCTTATGGTCCATTCTTGTTTTAGGTAATTGTTGAATTCCTTCAAAACAATTTTCCGGAAGCATTAGATTTCCTTGTAACTTTTGTTGGAGATCTCATATCGACTAGGTACGCTCAAGCCAATAGGTTTATAAGAGTGGATAATCCTCCCACTCAATAAGGCTTTTTGGGTGAGGAGTTAGGCTCAACTCCAACAAGTGGTATCAGAGTCAGCCCCATTTGAGCTGAGTGATTGACCAGTGGTGGGCTGCCAAACTACCTTTATTCATAGGCAAGTGGATCATATGGGTTTGACCGTGAGAGGGAGTGTTAGAGATCTCATATCAACTAGACACGTTCAAGCCAATAGGTTTATAAAAGTGGACAATCCTCCCACTCAATAAGGCATTTTGGGTGAGGAGTTAGCCCAACTCCAACAACAACTTTCTTATATAAAGACTCTTCATATNGTTGTACTCATCATTCTCACATTAACGGAGGACAAAAATTTTGTTCTGCTTCACCAGCAAAAATCCGCAGTATACGGACTACGGAGAACTCTTTCATACATCTTCAGTCCGTTCACTTTCCAATGGTTGGTTTTCGTTCGTTCAATAGTAAAAGTAAACTTTTGCAAGCCATATATATTCCATATTTTCAGCCAATCTGAAAAGGAAAGTGTATAGCATATAATGTCACAGCTCTGTCTCTGGATTTAGTTATTGAAAACTCTCAAGCATTTGGGAAGCAATCTTTTGAGCAGACTTAAGATTTCATCATGAGCTACTTAACTTTCAGATGCTCATTAATGATGAACAGGAAAAGAATGAATTGGCACCCAATTATGTCAGATAAAGAACTGAAAATTGGCTTTAGCATTTGAACATTCTATCAAATCAACTGCAGAATCAGTCTCTAACTAAGAACCTTGGAAGTGTACGCCCTCTTATGGTCCATTCTTGTTTTAGGTAATTGTTGAATTCCTTCAAAACAATTTTCCGGAAGCATTAGATTTCCTTGTAACTTTTGTTGGAGATCTCATATCGACTAGGTACGCTCAAGCCAATAGGTTTATAAGAGTGGATAATCCTCCCACTCAATAAGGCTTTTTGGGTGAGGAGTTAGGCTCAACTCCAACAAGTGGTATCAGAGTCAGCCCCATTTGAGCTGAGTGATTGACCAGTGGTGGGCTGCCAAACTACCTTTATTCATAGGCAAGTGGATCATATGGGTTTGACCGTGAGAGGGAGTGTTAGAGATCTCATATCAACTAGACACGTTCAAGCCAATAGGTTTATAAAAGTGGACAATCCTCCCACTCAATAAGGCATTTTGGGTGAGGAGTTAGCCCAACTCCAACAACAACTTTCTTATATAAAGACTCTTCATATGCAAGAGTTGAGTGCAACTCGTTCCAAGTAAAATGAGTGAATTCGAGATAGGTTCAGCTCATGTGGCAATAACACCAGGAAGCCAATTAATCTCCTCGATTCCAAGGTTCATTCCGGGTCCTTTAAGTAGCCCTGAAAGATACGCTCTTGGTCTCATAAACCATCGGTTTCAGGATGGTTTGCTTCCCATCTCAGAGTCAAGAAATGGCAACAAATACTATGCTGCCTTTCATACTTTGTGCTCTGGAATTGGAGTCCAAGCTCTTCTTCTCCCTGTGGCTTTCACTACCCTTGGCCCGTAAGTTTATATTAAAGCTAATTTACCAAGGTTGTATGTTTATGCATGACCTTATGATTTTTTTCTCATTGCAGGACATGGGGTGTAATCAGTTTATGTGTAGCATTCTTGTGGCAGCTATTTACCATATGTTTGCTTCTCCAGCTCCACGAAACATCCGACACTCGAATCCGCTATAGCAGATACATTCAAGTCTTCAATGTTGCCTTTGGTATAAGAAACTATAGTCACTTTTTTTTTTTTAAAGTATTTGATTTCTATTCAACTCTTTGTTGAAAAGTGCTAATAATGTTTTCAGATAATAAGGTGGGGAAGATGGTAGTGTGGTTATCAATTATGTTTCTATCTGGTAGCACATGTCTTGCTCTGATTGTCATAGGTGGCTCAACCTTGACACATTTTATGCACTCCATCTGCAACATTCAAGCATTATCAACTGTGGAATTGTATCTGATCTTTACTTGTGCAGTTGTGATAGTATCACAACTGCCTAACTTGAATTCTCTAGCGTATGTTTCTTTTGTTGGAGCCATTACAGCAGTTGGGTATTGCTCATTCATTTGGGTAGTGTCCGTGGCCACGGGTCCTATTGCTCTTGTTTCATATGAACCAGTAAGGGCCGGCTCTCAAATTGAACAGATGGTCAGTGTGGTTAATGCGCTTGGGAACATTGCTTTTGCTTTTAGAGGCCATAATCTCATCCTCGAGATTCAAGTATGCTCCCTTCAATTTTTTCTGATAAATTATCATGAAACTCAACTATAAAAGTTACGAGCAACTAAATCAAATATTACAGGCCACCATGCCTTCAGATGAGAAATATTTTTCGCAAGTGCCAATGTGGAAAGGAGTGGTGACTGCATATTCAATCATACTTTTCTGCATATTCCCTGTTGCAATTGGTGGCTACTGGGCTTATGGTAATAAGGTAAAAAAACAAAAAACAAATCCAACCACTTGAAAATAAAGAAACAAATTACGCATATAAGCATCATTGAAATCATACTTATGTTCATTGAACAGATAGCAAACGTTGAAGGGATGCTATGTGCCTTATACAAGTTCCATTCACATGATGTGTCACAATTTATGTTGGGTCTTATAAGCGTTTTCATCGTAATTAATGCATTAACCTCCTTCCCAATCTATGCCATGCCCACTTTCGATAACATGGAGTCTAATTACACTAGCAGAACGGAGAGGCCGTGCCCATGGTGGCTCAGGGTGTCATTCCGAGCTCTGTTTGGATTTGGATGTTTCGTTACTGCAGTGGCAATGCCAATTTCAGGCGGGATAGTTTGTTTGGCAGGAAGTATGACATTGCCAGTCACATTGTCATATCCATGCTTCATGTGGCTCAAGATTAAGAAGCCAAGAAAGTATACAACACTATGGTGGCTCAACTGGGGACTTGGGCTTCTGGGCATGGGATTTAGTTGTTTGTTGGTTGCATCTGGGATTCACCTTGTCATCCACACAGGCATTCAAGCAAACTTCTTTAAGCCTCGGGAATAAGCCTGGCCTATCAGATGAAAGACTACCCCATATTTCACCTCCACAAGAATGGGGTATTATGCATCAATAAGTACTACTAAGTGAACTGTGTAATCTTCCATTGGCAAATAGCAACAGGAGTCTCCACTACAAAACCAAGTACCCCACAAACAGCTTTAACTACACCTATTGTAATGCCATGTAAAATAACAAATGAAAGTATGAAACAGCCATTGCTTTTAAATCAAACGCAGCAATAAATGTTGAGGGAAAAAAGTGAAGTCAATGATACAAAGGCCCACAATGTCAGCAGCAACGACAAGTAAAAAAATCGAAGCATGAGTAGGGCCTTGACTTTTCTTCAAGTTCCAGTGCTGTGGGCAACCTTTCCAAATTAGTCATGCTGCTCCTAACACAACAGAATTCGTACAGATTTCTGCAAACTCCTTTACTGAAGGGATACACCCGTTCAGGAATTCCCCTGAATTTAAACAGAAATAGAACAAAAAAATTGGTAAATGCATGATTTTTACGTTGTTAAAATCCTTTTGGCATTCCGTTGCAATCTCCAATAAAGCCTATCCATGGCAAAATCAATTAAATTGTTTAAGCTTCGGCCAGACATATTTCTGGCAGTATATATGAACACTTTTTTCACCACAAAGCTTTTATCAACACTATAGAACGAAAAAATGATATATAAAAGCAAAGTAAGAAGATAAACTAACCTTAAATATGGGATGCGTCTGCGTCTTACCAGTTCATAGGTCGTCTGATTTGTCAGAATAAGATAGCTGAAATCAAAATGATGTTACAACTATAGAATGGCTTTCTTAAAGATAAACTACTATCTATCTTTTAACCAAATTATGTGACAGAGTCCATATTTGTCCCATTCTAATATAACATTGGAACAGTGAGTGGAAGGTGAGTTGTGGATATTTACTTACTTAGCAAAAAAAAGGTGTGTTGCGTAAGAGATGGAAACCAAGAAAACAAGACAAAGCATTGAATATCATCTTTTTCCAAACAAAAAAAAAAAAAAAAAAAAAAAAAGAAGAGAGAAAGAAAAAGAAAAACACTTTCATAACATAATTCTGGTGTCCATGGCTCAACTGGTTAAAACACATGGAACACATGAACTCTGAAAAAAGTTATTTTTCCAGTGCTATCTGCAATCTACTAAGCAGATATTTGTATTTTCCCAAACCATGTAACATTTGTCAAAGAAGAAGTTGGCAGAGCTGCTAACATTGGGACTCGACTAGGTAATCTGCTTCGTCTAGTAGCCATTGCCGACCCTCCATAACAAGCATAAGATTGATGGAGAAAGATTTATTGAGCAAATAGCATGACTACTATATCGACGTCTTCTGCAAACATGAGTCACATACAACTTTCTGAACTGCAATAGTACACAACAGAATATTTTTGCTAGTCCAATATTATAGCAATTAGCAACAAATCATTACAACAAGTAACTTTGAATCCAAATTTATTGAAGTATTACATATTGAATCATTCAACTGATGCATTAGGATCGCATAGGAAGGACACAGAAGGAGCATGACCCTCGTAATTACCAATTCTGACATTTTTTGTTACAACAAAGTGCAAGAAAATTTATGCTAAAATTATCAAAACAAAAATTAGAAGAAGAAAACAAATATAAACAGAAGTTACCTATGAAAAACTAGTAGTAGGAGCAGGAAAATCAAAGATATTGCCAAAATAACCAGTAGCACTATCATGATTGCATCCTTCCACCTGACAATGAAATGATTTCAGGAACAAATTTAGATTCAAGAAAAGGCAAACTGTGAAAGAATTAGAAGTTAAGTTAGTAGATATTTAAGAAAAATTTTACTACATAAGGCATTGTCATTGCCCCTGACTGCCTTTTCCCATCACTTTTTTCTTTTGAGGGGGCGGTTCTAGTAGAGCACTGAAGCCCTCAGGCAATGCTTTTGTCATGACAAGATATTTTCAGCCAGACTTCATCATATGACCAAAGAAAAAAAATCTCAATAAAAACATCATACCAAGCCCTTGATATATTAGTTTTTAAGTATGTAATGTATAAGATGCCAGTCCAGAGGCACAACACTGTCTCTTCACAAAGGTACCACCTACAGGCAAGTCGACAAAAAAAAAGAAAAAAGAAACTTGGTTAGAAAACAACATTTAAACATGAAAAAGGATACATACATCATTACTGTTTGAATTATAGTCCTATGGCAGCAAGGTATACAAACAATTTCAAGAAGGATGTAAAATATTCACTCACGATGCTAATGCTATGGGAAAAGGTACTTTGATCCAATAAATCATAGGATATTCTACATGATCTCTAAATAACAACAGAACTACAGAGGTAAAATGCTAAAATCTGAAGAAAATCAAAAAGTCTATAAAGATGAAATTTGAACCCATAAGTTTATCTTTTTCAATTCTCACCATGAATGTGAATAAGAAATATATCTGGTCTCTTATATAAAGAAATACAAATTATAATAAACATGTCACAATTTTATTTCACAATGGTCGCTACATTTTTAAACTCAACTGGCACTACAAACAATACAAGGACACACTATCGGACAACAGGTAACTAAATCACCACAAGGTCAAATAAAGTCAATCACTTTTTCTCCAATCTCCACACTGTTAATTTGTTAAATCTACAAAGAGAAAGAGTTATCTAGGGAATACACGTCTGACAACAATGTAAACTCACCAAAATCGACAATGATTACCCTGGCCAACACATGTTCCGAGCCAAACACAATGATGATCAAACTGAAGAACACACCTGTCACAATCGTGACAATGCTTTGCCCGTGGAGGCTGCAATTAATAACAATAAGAGGTTACATTAAAAGCAATTCAGGGATCATCAAAGAAACAGCCAGAAATAATGAGAAATACTCGAGCCACGAAATACACCTAGTGATATAAATTAATCAGACTAGTCCATTACGCTACTAACATGAAACATAGGTAGGCAAGAAAGACCTGATTCCTAAAAGCAGATATCCAAGTTGTAAAAACTTCTAAAAATCCTTATCTGTTGGAAAATGTATATGCTCTGCTAGTCCTCCCAGTAAATACTAATCAAAAAGTTTGATGAGGACCTTATCCACCGAGCTGTTTAAGTGATACTTTCAAGCCAGTACTATCCTAATACTTTCTTCTATAAAAAAGAAGTTAAAATTGTGGGTACTATCTAGTGTACTCAGTGGAATGTTTAGGGATCAAATCTCGCTTATACCAAAGTGGGAAGTAATGGGATTTAATTTTTAAGTTTGAAAAAGAAAATAATGGTTAAATCAGTTAAGAATGTTCAGATGATAAATTTAAAGCATTGGTGAAAAATCAATGCTTTTTTTTTTTTTTTTTCCGCTCTTTGTCAAAAAGTTGATAATACGAGAACCCTATATTGTCTATTACAGGAATATTCTACAGGCAAAGAAGCTACTGAGCTTAGTTATTTACCATTAAATATTTATTAAGGTAACTCTTTAATGCCAATGGTTAGGCAACTCACAAAGAAACTTTTCATTATTCAATGAGAAACAAAATGCTTAGGATTAAGTAATAATTAAGAACAACAGTGGTTCCATCAGATTTTGATTCATACAGCAAGGGGAATGTAAAAGTGGGATAATAACTGGTTGATGCAGGTGCACACAGGATCTGTAAAAAAACATAATATATAAGAATAAAACCATACCTGTTCAACATTACAATATGGGCAAGTCAACGTTCTGCAGAAAGCAAGATAACACAGTCAGTAAACTTGCTGTTGTTTTTTTCTTTTTTCTTTTTCTTTTCGGGGGGCTGGGGGGCTTCATCAACGTCATTCATATGGTTTAATCCAACTTAATGACTTCTCAACACAAGATTGCAAGTGGCAAGCAGATAAAGTATGCCCATCTAAGTTCTGTTGGTTACAAATTGGAATTACAAGCCAGAGACAAGCAGTGAAGACAACTCAAATCATTTACGAGTATGCTTATAATTGGTTATGGAATTAAAACAAGTAATAAAATGTATATCTTAAACAAATCAAGCAATCTAACCAAAACAAGATCTCTATAGTATGCAAAATGGAGAGTTTTTCATTAATTACCCCTTCCCTCTCCAATCAACAACCTCATTAACTCTGAGCTTGTAGACACTGCAACCACAATCTATCTTAACCCAGGGCCCAGGCAGTTGCAGGGTGATAAGATAGTTTAGTCAATTTATTGAAAATTCCACCAAAAACTAAAAGCTTGAGCATATATGATTTCTTCCCATTCAATTTAAAGCATGTACAAGATACACAAACTAACCAAAAAGAACTCCTTATTATATCAAAGTCAACCTCATTCATATGCTTATTGCAGCATAATCAATTCTCAAAAAAACACTGCAAGTGGCAAGCAGATGAAGTACGCAATCTATAGTTATGTTGTTTATAAATTGGAATTACAAGCCAGAGACAAGCAGTGAAGACACCTCAAAGCATTTATGAAGCATGCTTGTAATTGGTTATGGCACCAAAGCAAAGCATAGATATGTATCTTCAATGGATCAAGAAATTTAGTCAAAACAAAACCTCTATAGTACACCACATGGCAATTTTTAAGTAATTACCCCCTTTCTCTCTAGACACTGTAGCCACAATCAATCTAAATCCAGGGCCCAGGCAATTGCAGGGTGACATGATAGTTTAGACAATTATTGAACATTCCACCATCAATTAAAAGGAAGAACATATAGAATTTTTTCCCATTCAATCTAACACATGCAGAAGACAAGGAACCTAACTAAAAAGATTTCCTTAGTAAATCAATATCAACATCATTCATATTGCTTTTATCAAACATAATGACTTCTGAATACAAGACTGCAGGTGGTAAGCAGATGAAGTGTGCCAACCTAAAGTTCTACTGGTTACAAATTGGATTTACAAGCCAGAGACAAGCACCTCAAAGCATTTACGCTCATAATTGGTTATGGCATTGAAACAAAGAATATACTTTATTTATCTTCAATGAATCAAGCAATCTAATCAAAACAAAGTCTCTCTAGTATGCCAAATGGAGAGATTTTAGTAATTACACACCTCCCACTATTATTTTTCAGCCTCATTAACTCTGAACTACTAAACACTGTTGCCAAAATAAATCTAAATCCAGAGCCCAGGCAACAGGGTGATATGATAGTTCAGTCAATTTATTGAAAATTCAATAGCAACTAAAATGAAAATATATTACTTCTTCCCCCTTCAATATAAGACATGTAGAAGAGTAGAAGACAAATAACCTAACTAAAAAGAATTCCTTAGAATAACCACTAGTAAATAGATAGACATATGAGTAATACTCTTGACCATATATGGGCTGTCATGCATGGACGTGCATCAATTATGTAGAACTTTTAAGAACAAGCTACGATGTAATTGCATACCTAATGGATGTTCCTGGGGGATACATCTCGAGCACCAGCTTTGTCCAAGATGTTGCATTACTTCCTGGAAAATATCTCCCCGACTGACTTCCCTCAACAGTAATGACCATGTTTCCATTTTTACTTGAAGCAGGTTGTCTTTGCTTAAGCATTGCAAACGATAAAATTAATAGAAATATTAAAAATTATAAATTCATTTCTATATCTTGTCAGATCCCTAATTAGTAATACTTAAGACACATAAAAATAAAAATTAGTACTTACTTTGAGGATGTGGATATCTTTCTAAATAAAGCATTCGTCTCATTTACCTCTCTCATTGCATCAAGAACATAGCTAAAAGTACACAAAACAAAGATGCAAGAAACAGCATTAGCCAGGAAGAAAATATATTAAAGGTGCCATTTTTCCTGATAAATATGTTACTAGCCAATTTTGAAACAAGTACAATTTCATTGACATTTACCCGGGAGAAGAACCAGAGGTCACAAAGTATTGCACCAATGTGATAACGAACAAAACTAAATACAATCCGGTATACCTGTAAAAAGGGGTGACAATGTTAACTACAATGCCGCAATTACATGCTAAGAAGTTTAAGCAAATAAAAAGTAAAACATACCAATGCGCTTCTAGCTTTTAGAAGATATGTAAATCCTTCTACTAAGAGGCAGTAAAACTCTAAGCTAAGCTAATTTCTATTCTAAGCAATCAATGTAAATTTCCTCAAATTCCAGTTTAACTGTAATGTAATGCAGAGAAACCTAACTGCAAAATACACATACCATGGTTGATGCTTTGTTTTCTCTATCAAATCAGTATCAAAAAGAAAGAGAACGCCGACAAATACCAGATGCAGCATCACCAGCGCCGCTTTCAATCCCAACGACGATCTCCGAGCTGTTCCATTTTTTTTTTCTTCTTCAGTTTAATTTTCTTATTAACCAAACAGAAAAGTGACAAACAAATAAAACGTACCGGGATCGGCAAGACAAGGAAAAACGCGATAGCATCGATCGAGAACTCCGCCACCAGAGTCTCGGATAGTGTGACATAAAGCCGACAACATCGTCGTCAAAATCAAACGGTATCAGATCATTAAACAAAGAAATTTGAAAACGATTGCTGTTGCCGTAGTAGCATCAGAATGTTTGTGTTTGTTTTATTTCCCAACTCTTTTCTCGAGAAAGTGATAGAAAAGTTTATGAATATTAAATTTAGAATTAAAAAAAAAAAAAAGGAGCGAAGTGGCGATTGTGTTCTTAATAGTTACGGAGCTGTATCCGCCTCCTCTCCTCCAGAGTCCTCCTGTTTGGCTAAACTTCGTGATTTTGCGATGTGCGCATTGCGCAGCCTTGACTCCGTTAGAATCTCCTGGATACTGCCGCACCGAATTGTTTTTTGTTTTTTTTTTTTAATTTTTCCTTTTCAATTTATCATTGGGGTGAATAGTAGCCGTTTGATCACGGTCAAAGGCTCCTTGGTCAACCGTACAATCATGATCCAGCGGCTGATAATTCCTCAGTGATGCTTTAAGATTTTGGTTTATGTTCAAGCCGTTTTATAAAACAAAATTGGAAAGCCTAATGCTACAACTATAACTAAATCTCACAATCTTTAACGCATAATTAATATTAATCAGTTCATAATTAAACATATGGGATATATAATAAGTAAATGGAATCCATTTATGAGTTGACCAATTATAAACTATCATATTGAAGTGAAAGAATGTTATGAGATTAGATTATAAAACTAATATTTTAAAAAAAAAAAATGTTAGATCTATAATCTAATCCCACAACCTTCGACATGACAGATTGTAATTCATCCATTTATAATCAGTTTGTAATTAGGTAAACGAAATCTATAATAAATAGATAAAATTTATTTATGAACTAACCAATTACAAACTCTTGCCGATATAGGTTATAAAAGTAGAAATTGTGTTTTCTATAGTCTTTTAGATTATTAAAAAAGAAAAAAAAAATTAAATTTCCGTTAATTAAAAGATGATAAGGTTCAACGAAAACTCAAACCTCGGGTTTGTAAAAAGAATTAAAAAGATTCATAAATTATAAAAATTAAAATTAAAAAGAATTATATTAGAATGGAAGTGTTGTTGATGCGACGGCCAACAGGAGAAAGTTTGTTGGCACACAAAAAATTCATCCAACGATCAACATTACGTTTGGGAAAGTCAAACTAAAAGTCAACCCACCGAACAGCTACAACCTAACCAATTTGTTAAAGATCTACGTGCTTCCAAACTATTGGACCTTTCGGTTTTGAAGATTAGTTGATTTTGATTGGCCCACTTGGCATACAATCATCAGAGATACGTGCAGCATAGGAATTGCAATTAAGCTTTCTGTGATTATTATTAATTAATCAAAATATTAATGGAAATTATCGAACAAAGTAAATTTTAAGCACGAGGATAAGAAAATTATACATAAACCGGGTGAATGTCTAAATCATAACTGGCTGTATCAATTAGTTGACCTTGTGAGATACAGTATATATACACATTAAAGAAAGGATTAAATATATAGCTGCTGTTCCGAGAGATTCAATTCCCAGAAAGGGAACTGCTGAAAATTTAAAAAGGGACAACTAAAAAATCAAAGGTATAATGCTGTAGTGAGGTACAAATATTCCTCATTGAAACTTAAACTGGATTTCTTAATTAAAAATTGAACTGGATTCCTTAATTAGTATACTTGTTGAGACTCTTTCCTTTGTTATTTCCTGGTTGAACAAAACAATTTGCAGGGCAGAATAGTTCATCGCAAAGGCCTGGAGACTGGAGTTCCTGATCTTCTAATTTTGTACGCCCTTGAGATTTTAGAACAATTGTATAAACATTAGTAAGTGCCAATGCTCTTAAGTTTTTTTTTTTTTCAATGAATATTGAAGGGTTGATATGTTTGGTGAAGAATCTTATCATGCATTAACAATTGCGAAAGTACAGTAGTAAGCCTAGGAGAAATCAAAATCTCCATGGGGAATATGTTAGATTGATCATTAATTAATTTTGAGCAAAAGAAAACAAATGCAAGTGATCAAAGGATCTAATTCATTGTTCTAGGATATTCTTGTTTATGCATGGGAGATAAGAGTATGAAAACTCAAAACTGCAGGCCACTAATTAAAGACAGCATCCTCATCGTTTCCGCCAAAGACTTCAAGAACAAAGAAATTCCAAGAACATATGACATAGCCAGCTACCACGTGTCGCCACATAATTTTACAACAATTGTTTTCTCCTAAGCCCAGGGCAAGACATGAATTGCTAATTTTGTCAGCTAGATACAGCTGCATGCACAGAGTCATTATTGATCCAAGGAATATGCAATTAATGTATGAAAAAGTCTTACTCAAACAACAGGAAACGAAAGTCAGAATGAGAATGAGAATGAGAAGACAACTAAATGGCGATATTGATTATGTTTAACATATGGATTCTATTTGACAGTACAAAGAAGTAGTTGAGTTACAGTAATTTTTCTTCGGCGAATATTTTAGCCGCTAGGAGTATCCGCCCTAGTTTTATTGCTCAAATTACAGGTTGGAACAATGACAGAATTATCGTTACTCTCTTGTTTATTACTGAACCCAATGTTGTATAAAATAACAAAAAAGGCAAGTGAGAAACACAAAGATAAGGTAAGGAAATGGCAATGAGGTTTGCTTCAGGTTTTCTTCTATTTCTTTTCATGTCATCATCTAGCATTGCTGTGGCCTTCCACATTCCTGTGGTAAATGTGACGGCCATGCCAGCAGTATTTCTGTTTGGTGACTCAACTTTTGATGTGGGGACTAATAATTTCTTAAATGTGAACCAAACCATCAAAGCGAACTTCCTTTATAATGGAATCGACTTTCCTTACTCAACGCCAACTGGGAGATTTAGCAATGGCTATAACACAGCCGATCAAATAGGTAAGAATTGCATAGCTGGTGATTGATTTGTATTGATATGATCAACTTTAACTTGAAATATTTGATTGGATTGTATCAGTGAGGCTGTTGGGATATAAAAGGAGTACGCCATCTTTTCTTTCTCTTCTAAACCACTCGTCCACTTTCAAGGGTAGAATTCTCCAAGGTGTCAACTTTGCTTCAGGAGGCTCTGGTCTACTTGACAAAACTGGGAATCAATTTGTAAGCATATATATTCTCTTAATCTTGAATGTCACTCCAGATTCTATTTTCTTTATTTCTTTTCTTCTTTTCATAAAAGTTCATACATATAAAAGAAAATTTTCTACTGGAATTCTCTTGTATAAGCAATGGCATAAGTTCACGCATGTGCGTGTATGAAAGCAACACAAAGGTTTGAGAATTACAGCTCCCAGCATCAATGCTTCTTTATCAAAAAAAGAAAGAAATTAAAGAGAATTTTCCTTCATATCCAAAGGACAAAAGCTAACTTCATTTATTTACATCGTTTACAAATATTACAGAACAATTCGATGTCATTGAGAAAGCAGATTGACCAATTTTTAACTGTCTACGCAAACATCACAACTATAATGGGTCCAGAAGAAACTGCCAATATGGTTTCTAAATCACTGTTCCTCATTAGTGTTGGAAGCAACGACGTCTTTGATTTTCTGGATAATAGTACCACGTCTCCCGGGAACCTCTTGTACAACATGTTGTCTACCTACCACGACAATTTAAAGGTGATTGCTTAATGGAATCAATTGAATCTATTGTGTTCTAATTTTGTTGCGCGCAGATTAGTGATTATCTACACATGAGACTATGACATGCGCCTAATATTAATTGAATTAATATGGCAGAGTCTATACGATATTGGAGCCAGAAAATTCGGAATTATCAGCATTCCACCAATCGGTTGCTGTCCGGCTGCACGTCTATATAATAACACTGGTGGCTGCTTTGAGGAAGGAAATGAGTTTGCTAAAAAATTCTATAACGCAACGGAAGAACTCCTGTATGGAATGAAATCAGAACTCCCTGGAATGACATATTCACTGGGAAATTCTTATGAAATGACCATGACTGTCATTGAAAATGCTTATGCCTTTGGTAAGAAATTTAGTTAAAGATTGATATTGAAAGTTACTGCAATATAATTTAGATATTGAAAATTCTGATTCAATTTATCATGTATAATCTGTAAGGTATCACGGACACCGCGACAGCTTGCTGTGGGGATGGAAAGACTCAGTGTAATCAAAAAACAATTCCTTGTAACAATCGCAAAGAATACTTATTCTGGGATCGATTCCATCCAACTCAGAGGACTTCTGAATTGGCAGCTCTAACACTTTATGCAGGCTCTACAAGATTTGTGACACCATTCAATTTCAGTATGTTGGCCAGCAATGATGTCTAAGGTTTTCATTATTTCACTGCAGCAGAAATCATAACAAAGGACATGTAATCTTCCGTTTTCTCGTTCTCATTCAAGTATCAGACGGAGTAATTTCTTTGTCATATAGCTAAGAATAATAATAAATAATTGTGACATTGTTGTAACATAATTGTACGATCATATATAACAAAGTTACCAAATTGAATAAAAAACTTATCCCTCCCTAACTCTTTAATGGTCTTACGAATTAATCAATTTCTGAGTTTCTCACAACTTAAGGTAAGGTGGTGTGTGATCATGTTGGAACTTTATCTCCTAGCCAATAGTGGGAGAGATGATATATTGGTATACTAAAGCAGAAGCAGCATTATGAAAGCTTTGAAATAGAAGTTGGGAAGTGGGGGAGAGAGAGTGTCGACAGCATCATATTCAAGGGCAGAAACTTTGCAGAGAAGGATAAAGGGCATTAGCTAGCTAGCTTTGGCTCCATTCTAAATAATGGCGTCGCATCCATCTCGACAGCATCTTGTTCATATGTCCAGCATCTTTTTTTTTCTTTTTTTTTTTTTTTCTATGACCAAGGGTGTCTGGATCAGTTTGCGCATATATCAACTAATCCTCCAAAATTTTGAAGTTGACAATCGAGTAAATTCCTTTTATAATCATCCCTATTAGCAACTCAGGTGGATTGGACCTCTTAAATAATACACTTAAGAATCTTAATTTACCACTTGATCACTCAGTAGTGATTGTGTCTAGCATCTTTGACATACACACTTTAGCTAGCTTACAAATCAAAGCAAGGATGTTATTGTAAAATTTATAACTTCTTTAACTTTGCACCATGTTCTTTTCTTTACTTTTTGTACTCACTGACTCACTCTCAAAAGATCTGCATAATCCTCCCTTTTATCCCATGGATTTCGTTTATCTACATTCTTACACGTGCTAGACTGCTAGACCATCTTATTTTGATTTTCTTTATGTCAATGGACTTGATGCTTCTGATATAAGCACACACAGTGTGAGAGGAAAGAGGAACACATTCTTAATCTGTCCGTGCCTGCCGATTAATGCATTATTCTTTTAAGCTGTACATTTATCAACATGGGAAACTATTAAGTTTCCAGGACAAACAGGATCCTCATTCAAATCTTTAAATAATTGGTTGGAAATAAAGGTTTGATCAGGAGAATAACGTTGTCCCAATATTGTAGAACGCCTTGATATGCATTTAACATTATTTAAATGTATAGAGATAATACTAATTAATCACGATAGTATTTGTTTGATGAGCATACTAGCAGACACCCTTAACACTGCTTTGTTAACTCAACCACAACTTTACCAAATGGTTAATTAAAATGGAAACTAAGAGGGGAAAAAAATGAAGATTTAATCGAAGAAATTGGTTAAAGACTTGATTAATTCATCACTAAACCTCTTAACATGTATCTAATCTAACCACCAGTTTCAGAATTCACTCAGAATAACTTGTGGCTATTAGCAATGATTTTTTCTAATTTGTATTAATTAACTTCTAATCACAATTATCTTGAACAGAAGATCTCTGATAAATCAGAAAAAGGAACAGAAGAGATCAGTTCATTTCCCTTATTTGGTTCAAAAAGACATAGTACAGTTAAGAGAACTTCGTCTTTAAACAGAACGTAAAACGGGAAAATCAACCCCATCTATGTTACATCCTGCAGAATGCAATCACAACCCCAATAAAGCAAAATTTAAAGTGTAGTCATTCTGCAATGGAACAATCCAAAAGGTCGCTTCAGAAGTGAACAGTTGTAACCATCCATACAGGGTAATTCTACAGTATTTCATTTCCAGAATTCATGGCTTTATCTATGGCAAGTTGACAACGCATGACACCCCCCATCTCCCTACTCAGAACTATCATTGATCAGGACCTGGTTGAATTTATTTTACTTCAACTTCACGGAATTGAAAATTTTTCACTTTTCCTACGTACGACGGTACGAGCAACAAGTAATGTTTTAACTCTTTATTGAGCTCCATTGGAATCAGTAATCTGCTTGTCGGGTCTTTTAGTCCATTTGAATGTCACCTGTTCAGCCGTTTACTAATTTCGATGGACTTGACAAAGTAGAGAGTGTTGGGATGTTTTGTTCGAGGGGATTTATTAGGTTATAAGTAAATGTTAGTGCATTAGCAGCCGTTGGATCAGTCTTACGTCAGCCCTAGATTATAATCAAGGGTTGAAAAGCGTTAACAGTTTCTCCTTTTGTATAACCTTTTTTCGAAAGGTTTTATAGGCACCACATTATAAAGGCAATTAATATTGTTGTAAATGTACTCTCCACCTATTTTTAAAATCTATAATCAAATACACTTTTTTTTTTTTTAATTTTTAATCATCATATCACTTTACGCGTATCTTAATTAATCCTCCTACACTTTAAAACTATAAATTTATTTAAAGTTCTAATGACTATTTTTATTAGTATATGAAAATGAATTCAAAATTAAAACCCCTTAAATCGTATATCTAAAAGTCTCTATTGAACCGTTCGACCATTCAGATGTAGTTAAATATTTAGAATTACATTTAAAAATAAAATATATCAAGAAAATAAATAAATCACACGCATTGTTATTTGTTCATGAAAATGTATAAATAACGAGAGTGATATTGTTTTAATCATGTAATAGTCAGTCTTCTATGGTAATTTCTTGTATTAAATGGACAAATTAAAGAATTGGAATTAAAATTTATTAAAACTTGATACTAATGATCTTCTAATTAAGAATTTTAATTAGGTAATGCAAGCCATGTGAAATGGCTAAAACAAAATGGATTTGCATGAAATTAAATAGCATTGGTAATATCAATTAACATCGTAACTTTCTTCGGAATTTGGTAAAGAGGGTCCAGCATTAATTTGCCTTTTAAATGCTTTTCAGATCTTTCATTTAATTAGAACCATGTATCAACCTACATATTATTATTGTGGCTTAGTCAATAAAAGCAACTATATACATCAGGTATAACTGGTTTTTCAATGTTTTGGACTGGAGCTTGGGTTTGGGGAAGAAATTGTAATTTTTTTTCCTAAACTCGCCTCACTATTTTTTTTAACCCCAAGGGGTCAGTCTAATGCTCATAAGGGTTTTCTCAATTCCTTAAGTTTTTAGGTTCAAACCTTAAAACTACCTACCATGATAACATTAAGACTTACCTAGTCTTTTGGGATTGTAGAATGTTCAATGAATCCCGAAGATTAGATGCAGAGATTTGTTGAAGTGCGTATAAGCTAGTCAGAAATCCCGATTATCAAAAAAAAAAAAAAAAAAAAACACTATGTAACACAAGAAGAGTCTCCCACATTTTTTTTTTTTATATTTAGTTTGGGATTAAAAATCAAGGACCCAAAACATTTAGATAAAAGCAACGCCAATGACTTTAGAGGTTAAATTTTTTTTATTAAAAATTAACTAATTTATTTAAAAAAAAAAAATTGATGCTTGCAAATGAGATGAACAATAGTGAAAGAATTGATGTCCTTAGGGTGTGTTTGGTTGGGATAATAGATGATTACTGAAGTAATGTCATATTATATTACTTGATTATCACGTTTGGTTGTTAAGTAACATAAGATTCTGGTAATCTTCCAAAACAAATAGTAATTAATGTTAGTAATATAGGAGATAATCTGATTACCTCTATTTTCTTAAGTATTTTAAGATTACTTAGTAATTTTATTTTTGTTACAATTTTACCCTTTATTAATAATTTTTTTTGGAAAATAATGCCCTTATTTTGAAATTAATTTATATAAATCTGCCATTACAATACTATCCCTATTTAATTAAGTTTTTGGACACTAATGCCCTTATATCGAAAACAAATTGCAGGCCGCCCAGAACCACCGCCACCCATCAACAACCAAACACAAAACAATTTCTCCTTTTGTATAACCTTTTTCTAAAGGTTTATAAGTACCACATTATAAAGGCAATTAATGTTGTTGTAAATGTACTCTCCATCTATTTTTAAAATCTATAATCAAATACTTTTTCTTTTTAATGACCAGGTAATCCTCCAAGATCCTAAAACTACAAGTTGGTTGAGAGCTCTAGTAACTACCTCTATTAGCATATGAAAAGGGATTCAAACTTATGACCTTTTAAATAGCACACCTAAAAATCTCTATGGAATTGTTCAACCACCAGATGTAGTTAGGGGTGTTCAAAAGCGGTCGGTTAACCGCTTTTATGAACCAAACTGGTTTTTCGATTCGGGAAAATTCCCAAACCGAAACCGAACCGATTTGAAGAGAAAACCGGTTTTTCAATTAACTAGTTTTGAACCGGTTTTCTCTCTTTTTTTTATTTTATAAAACTTATTTTTTTTTTTTAACTTCTTCCTAAATTTAATTGTAAATATAAACAATACATATCCATATAAAAATAAAAATTAAATATTCATACATATCCATTGATCACTACTAACAATACATTAAAAATTTATACAAATAAAAGTACGAAATGAAATTCTTTTTTTATTTAATATATAATATATATTTTTATTTCTATTTAATATATATATATATATATATATATATATCCGGTTCAAAAAACCAGTTTCGGTTAACTGTTTTTTATTTTTTTCGAACCGATAACCGAACCAAAAATCCGGTTTTTTTAATTTTTTGAACCATAACTGAACCCTTTTTTCGGTTAACCAGTTTTTCAGTTCGGTTCGGTTTTTGCATTTTTTTGAACACCCCAAGATGTAATTAAATATTTAGAATTATGTTTAAAAATAAAATATATCAAGAAAATAAATAAATCACTCACATTGTTATTTGTTGATGAAAATGTATAAATAACAAGAGTGATATCGTTTTAATCATGTAATAGTCACTCTTCTATGGTAATGTCTTATATTAAATGGACAAATTAAAGAGTTGGAATTAAAATTTATTAAAACTTGATACTAATGATCTTGTAATTAAGAATCTTAATTAGGTAATGTAAGCCATGTGAACTGGCTAAAACAAAATGGATTTGCATGAAATTAAATAGCATTGGTAATATCAATTAACATCGTAACTTTCTTCGGAATTTGGCAAAGAGTGTCCAGCATGAATTTGCCTTTTAAATGCTTTTCAGATCTTTCATTTAATTAGAACTATATATCAACCTACATATTATTATTGTGGCTTAGTCAATAACAGCA